AACTTGCGCCAATTGATCGTTTTGTACATTCCATCTTTAAGAAAACAATGAATCTTGTGAAATGTTTCAGTAACTTTATACCGTTTTCAGAAAAAAATATGTTGCTAATCTTAACATTTTGATCTTGCCTGTAAATTGGCATGTCTCTTGTAACATGTTTGTTATTTGAGAATAAATTATTATTATTATTATTGAAAAATAGAGAGTAGACTAGAAACCATTATTTACAATCAACCATTAAATGTAAGAGAGCTTAACATCACAAAAGGAGGGAGGGTGGTGTATCTGACCAGCATTCATGACGGTGGGGCGATAACCTCAATCTATCCATGTCCGTGTGGCAGAAAACTTTGTTTGCTTACGGCTCCTGACAATATAGCAGGATGTAACAAATCAGTGATATTGATGTTACTTTTCTTTGTTAACCTCGTCTACAACTCATGTCTGTAACCTTGCATTCGTTTTTACTTCCTACCGAGGAATCCTATTACAAGATGGTCTGGACAACTATACTAAAAATAGCAAAAAGAGCTCATTCATAACTTCTTGAGCCTCAGAGTTAAAAATAAAAAGAATAAATAAAACAAAAAATTATATCACTGAGCCTCTTCATTATATTTTGTAAATCAACTTTATTACTAACAACTTGGTTCTTCTGAATTTCCTCTATTCATTCGACTAACTTCCCATTAGTTACCTCACTAATGAATTGTCTTCCTTAACCTACATAAGTGCAGGTGTACAGTTAGTGTTCTGATACTAAAAAAGTCTGAGTAAACATACCTTTGTTTTATCCAAAAACGTATTGTAGTGAAGGAAAACACAGGTGGGGCAAACGGATTGTATTTAACGAAAATTACAGAGTTACTCAGTAAAGTCGGAAAACCATATCGTAAATCGTTCATTTGCAAAATATCAGTTCATCATATCGAACTGGACTGTTCCTGTTGCAAAACATCAATCCATTGTCACTATTCATGCGTTTCATACTAATTCCATTGTTTTCTAACTCTTCCTTTCTTGATCTTCCCCATCTTCTGCTGCCAGACATTACGTTGACACTCACGTCATATGCCACTTATAAGTAGCTCACACCACAATAGGACTGTTCAGGTACTGAAGCATTAACATTAATATGAACTCAATTACTGCAGATATTACACTCTCATTCAAAGTAGCTGGTTTTAACTGGTAACGTGCTGATGGATTTTGCTAAAATAAGTGACACATAACCTTCTGCACAATATACGAATGAACGCACTACGTAGGCAAGAATTTTGCGGAGTCCAGTTCTGTAGGGATTGGCTAACTCGGTCTGAACAACTCGTTAGGAAATGCGACAACGGTTGTAGTAGCAGAGATACATTAGGCTATGTGACAAACCACGACGTGAGAGGACTAAGGTGTAGGCTGTTGGAAATGAGGAATGTGTGCTCGCGGATGGATCTGAAGTTCAGAATCCTAAATGAAACATCGAGCTTGGAAGGTGTAGAATCTACTTTGAAGGCTTTGTTTTTGGAAAATCCCTCCATGTATATATATTTGAGTTATGATCTGACTGACTCTTCCATTCTATTTTTTGGTACTTTATTTGATCCCATTTCGAGATTCTATCATTTGTATCTTGTTATTATTTCTATATCTTGTACTTATACTGAAGTTTTCATGTTTCCTTCTGAACTATATATGTGTTGTTTAAAATTGATATTTAATATGGCTACATCCATATTTGGATTTCGATACTCTAGCGGTAACTGACTGGAAACACTTATTCTTCCAGTAACGGAACCTATTGTGGTGATTAGAAACTCGAAGGTGTAATATTGTTTTGGTAATTGTCTGAATTCCCTTTTTGATCAAATACAGAAACATTCTCTCCCAGAATTATCGCTTTTGGACTTGAACTGGGCGAGACGTGTGTGAACCTACACCTTTCGGGTTCCGAGCGGATCGCGAGAGTAATATAATTACTTTACACAAGGTATGAAACACTTCCGAAGTGATATGGTACACCGGACAGGAGGCGGAGTGGTTATATTTTTGTAAGCCGAGGGACTACACGACAAGCAACTAACCGAGATGACAGAATCATTTTGGTGTTGTTTCCATGCGACTGGAACGAAAAAAGTGATTGGAGCGTTTTACCGGCCCTCCTCAGGTACTAAGGCCCAGAAAGATAAACTGGGCGAGCCGATACGGAAACTGCCACTCCTCGGGTATGATCATATACTCTTCGGTGAAAATTTAAGCACTTCATCTCTAAAACTCTGCAAACAGGGTAAAACTCCCACTGGTTGAATCCAGAGAGGAATTGGCTCAGCCAGTAGAAACGCTGTGCTGATTGAGCATGTGTGCTATTAAATATACTAAGGAGGTGATATCCCCCAACCTGGATTATTTGTTAGCAAATGATCAGCTCCTGATCAAGGATGTTGACGTCCATAGACCAAAGGGCACAATCTCTTTTAACATGGTCATAAACGAAACACTCAGGCAGGATGAAAACAAACTCTACATTTGCTACACTAGGGCGAAATACAAGTGAATGAGAGTAAACATTCTACATGCCTCATGGTCACAAGAATGGCGGAGAACGACCGAAGATGACAATATTCGCCCCATAGTCTTGAAACAATATACAGATGCTCTCCATTTAACGATATGTTATCTGTTCAGGCATTCACTGGAGTCACACCAACTCCCAGCTGAATGGAAACAAGCTACTCTCTCCAATCTTCAAAGGAGTAGATAGGAAGGACCCAGTCTTTTACAGACCAGTCGCATTACTAACAATACTACCAAAGGTAATAAAAGGGCTGGTGAACGAACAAACGAGGGAGTACATGGATAAGAATAAAGTACTCCATGAAGTTCAACACGGGTTTCGGAAAGGCAGGTTGTGCTCATAGCATGGGACAGTTGGACATCCTACTTGAACCGAAAAATACCAGTGAACGTAATATTTCTAGACTTTGAAAAAGCCTTCGACACAGTACATCACGCACGCCCAATAGCAAAGGTTGCGGAAATGGGCTTCACTGGCCCACTCATATCTTGGCTGAGAAACTACCTTAAGTATAGAATGTTCCGTACCAAGATGCATACCTTGAGATTTGTTAGTTGTTATCATTGCTATCTCCTGGGACCACTAACTTAATCTATCTCATCTATTATCTCTGTTTCCTTTACGTAGCTTACACTTCGGTCCTCCTGCACAATCTTATCTACGAATTAATAGACTGGATTAGCCATTATATTTTCGGCCTGAAATGTTGCTCTTATTAGCATTAGAGTTTTCTGCTTATTCTCCACAATGCAACTAACTGATCACCGGTCCGGTAATGTTACAGCTGCTGGTATCCAGAGTCCCTACTGAAACAAACGTTTTCACTGAAATCACGGGACGTGCAAACTCACAAACTACTATCAACTGACTAGAATTAGTGCAGTTGAGTTTCTGGACTCCATCCATTGGTCACTACAAAACACCTGGAACCGTACGGAAAGAAGAAGAATCGAGCGTAAAGAAATCAGTTAGTTTATACTAGCTCGTGAAAAAGAAATTGGACGTTGCATGTGTTACGGTGTTTTAGTAGGTATTCGATGATTTGTTTTCTTTGTTGACTTTTTAAAATTAAGATGTGTTTACGCTTGCGTAAAATAATTTTTTTTGGATTTATATTGTCACTTTGCCATTTAAATATACGGGCCACCAGTGTCATACAAAATGCGAAGCAATTCTTTGATACAATTTTTCATACTACAGCTAAGAAGCCAGAATTCCTAAGTGTAGGTTCAGTAATCGTTTATATTGATTTTGACCTGCTAATGAATTAAATAAGAATCATTTTCAGACTAGTGGTTTACTACAAATATGCAAAAGTCTAAAATCCGTCTGTTTTAATCATTTGTTTCCACATATGAAACTGGCAACTGAACTTTGAGTAGTAATTACATTTGGGATCAAAGCATTCAACAATACTTACTTGTGAAATCCTACTTAAGTGTTTTGCCAAACATTATGTCATTTTTTAACTATTTATCTTCTGCGTGGAATCTTTCAGCTATGTTTATCACCGGATATGACAGTGATAATTTTGGTTTTTCTCATTACTCGGGATGATTATTGTTTCTTATTTTTACTCATAAGGACTTATAAGTTTGATTAAATTAGACTTAAGTTTTCTAGAACCAATAACTCGAAAAAAATTAATTTGATTTGTTCATTTAAAACTCTTATCTCTATTCAGCACCCTGCACACAGTTCTTAGGTTGGGTTGAAATACAAAATATTTTGATTCTTGCAAATCATCACCTAAGTTAATCGATAAGTGGACTACAAAAAATCTCTAACAAACTAGATATCGCATTTTTTAATACTGTTTCTCCACTAGCATACGTGGTTTAGGCAAGGCCCAAAAATAGTTCATAATTATTGTTACAACACATGATCAAACCTCATAAACATCGTGCTAATTTTCTTTAAGGTTTTAGTGGAAGATTCTGAAACTAATTACATACACCAAAATACAGTATTTTATTTTGAGCTAAAGCTGGAACAAAACCTGCTATTTTCTTGACAACGCAAAGTGCTAAACTGATTTTTCGTGAATGCCAGGGTCATTGGTATGTATTGTTTTTTTTCAGTTTCTCCTAAGATAGCTTCCAAATCATGGTTCTTTTTAGAGAAGTGGTAGTTTTATATCATAAGCATTTTAAATAGGGCTGCAAATGTTCGGTAGTTAGCGAATAAACGACTAGTTATATGAGTTCCTGGTTATGTTTACAAGATTATGTACATTTACCATCAAATTTCAACTGAGCAACAGTCCTTGTTTAAAATATAATAAAAATATATGCCAACTTCCTTAATGTGGAGTACTAATTATCAGGGAAAAATAACACATAAATGTTCAAACAGCTTTCTATGTGACCCTTTTTAAAACAACATGAGTTCCAGTTTACAATATCTGGAGACACGCATGTTTATTGATCCCAATTTCCACAACTCAAATCAGCATTGCAATATCCTGTCAACGAGGTGGAAAGGAATACCAAGAGCAATAGAAAACCTAGCTTAGAAACAACAGATGGGGAAAAGAGTGAAGTAAGGTTTAAATTAACGTCAAACTCACAATTTAGATAAAGAGTGACTGAAGATTTCTTATTATGATTTTTTTTCACTAGATACTCCAACGTCTACTGTTGTAGATCATAGGTATTACGTGATCTTCATTCGGAAAGTTTGCACCCTCCGTTGTCGACGATATCAGAAATTCATGCCTTATGTAAATCCGTCGCCCTCTTGCTTTTATCGACCTTTTTATATTTCAAGTGATATTGTACGTAGGAATGAGCAGTGACTAGTTATGATTAACGCGTGTTGTAACAAGTTTGATAAAAATTTGTTGTTACACAACAGAACTTTCGGCATCTATTTGAGAAATACATCCAAACTCAGCATTTTTAATTCAATGATTCCCCCACATGTTAAAAATACTTCAAAGACGAATAAACCGTGTGTAAATCTACTTTTATAGGCTACCCCAGACGTAATAGAAGGGGTGTTGTTATAATATTGAAGACATGAAGAGACATTCGAAATAAGAATTAATCGACAGAATTTTACCAGCATCACAGGACTAGGCAAATGTAAAATTGGTCAGAAATTAGTGAACAGTCAATTTTAATTATCTTAGCCTTACGAGAGATTAGTCATGATTCGAAAAACCCAGTAGCGGTAAGTTGAACTAACAAAGGCTCAAAATTCACATTGATCATCAGTTCCTATATGATTTCATGTACGCCTTGATGACGACTGCCAACTGATTTGAAAGCTACGGCTATAGTTCCTCTCTAACTACCCGTAGCTGCATAACTCAGATGATAGGACTAAACAAGACAAATTTTGAAAATTTCTGTACTTTCATATAGAATGACGTTCAGTAAATAGTATCAAATAAGTGTATGATAGAAAGCCCAGTACGTTTACTAGTTATAATCAGCAAGGCAAGACTTACATTTGTTCGTTTGTTTATTGATCGTTAACAGAGTCTGTTTTTTATGTAACACTAACTGTTAAACATATAACAAATAGAACATAAATTATACTGTATATTATGCTTTGTCTAGGTATATAGATCGGAACTAACACGTCATTCAGTGAGCCTAGAACAGTTCAATCTGTCGTCAGAAGTAGTTAGTTATGCAGGAAGAATCGGACATATTATTAAGAAACTAGAAAACTCTTTGAAGGTTAGTTTTGAAGTTAATTTTTTTAATTCTTAAATCTAGTTATAGATGTCTAAGTTTATATTCTTAGTTTGCTTCACTTTAAAAGTCTAAAATATCTCTTTTCTACTCGATCGAACAGAGAAAAGTCTAAGACAAACGTACAGTCATAAAGATTGTAAATGAAGATGTAGTTAGCTGGGTTCTGATGTCATTGAATACATCGTAAGTAATATTAATGAAGTTCAACTTAGTCGAATTTTTCTCTTATTAAGCATGAGCTCTGCTAATTTGCAACTCTATACGATGCACTGTTAATATCTGTCCATAAAGACTTATTGACAAGTGATTTGTTTTTCAATAGTTGCTAACATCTAATGTTCAGTAACGTAAATTATTATACAACTCATGTGTTCTTGATCACATCATCTCATGATTAATATGTTTAAGGTAGCAGTTGTAACCAGTTTTTTGATCATAGTAGTGAATCGACAGTCAAATGTAATTCGTTACTGTACCAAACTGTGATGGCAAACAGTATATGAGAATAATAAAAAGAGAGGAAGATGAATAAAAAACTATGGAACTAATGTTTATCAGTGCCTTTTAAAAATTATATCCAGTCATTTAGCAACACATACAATCTACTCTTATTGTATTATTTTCTTTATATTTAAACTATGTCCTAGCGATGAGAGTAGTTTACAAAAACTATTTTCAAATTAATGGTCTTGGTTATTATCATAATCCTCGTGAACAATCTAAAGCTAACAACCTAGAAAATGAAAGTATATGTATTTGATGAGTTAAAATTTTTCAATTCATTTATTTCCTGAAATATCAGTTTTCTTAATTTTGTCCTAACGCTTATTGCCCAACTTGGAGTAGTTATTAAGCTAGTGGAAACAACTTGTTAGACATTCAGAAATTTAATATGAATCAACCACGCTATATTGGCTGGAACTTATGTTCCTGAAGGTTCTACCATGTCAGGCGGGTCGATTAGAGAACGATGAGACTAAAAGCAGCTACTCAAGGTCTGAGGGCGAAGTCGTACTGCTGACTGCAGAGGGGTGTGACAGCAGTAAGGTGTTTCCCTCGGACAACCAGCATCTGCAGCGATGCCGCCTTCTCACAAGGAAGGAAGAGTTAGAAAAGGTCGACCCTAAAAATGTCACACTTCACCCTACTTCACGGATTTCCGTCTCCAGCGGTAAGGGCTGGCCCTTACATGCTTTTAGGAGCGGAGCTAATACTCGAAAAACCTCTCATAAAAAGGCCGTGCGTGACCGGCCTCAAGCAGTTTTCCCTTGGAGTCTTCAGTCACGCTTTTAGGTCGTTAAGACCAACGCTAATCCACCTTCCTTTTCAGGTTCCTCAAGAAACAACCTTCCACGGCGTGGGCAGCCGGGAAGTGACAACTTCTCTCATAACTGTAAAAGCACATGAGATCAAATCGGTAGCAATCAAATCCTTACTACACCGCCTGATAACTTTCTTATCTCCGTGACCAAGCCTTCTTTTGTTCCTACTTCACCTCGCGCCTCTGATACAAATTTTTCGAGCTCACGGAACGTTATTCCTGGTCTCTTGAAGCCCCGTTCTAAACTACATATTGGAGCTTTTAATGTTCGAATCTTGTCTCGAATAGGATAATAGGCTTCATTAGCTAGGAACCCGGAATCCCGTGCAATCGATGTGTGTTGCGTCTCCAAAACGTGCCCGCAGGATCCAAGTAAAATCACTAACTTGATTCCACCTTGTCCAGATAGAGAATCAGCTCGCTTTGTGCCTCGTTCATCTGTAAGCGCTGACGCTGCTTTCCTTTGGTGTATGTATATTATTAAGTCCTTGGGGCAGAACTAGCTTTCTTAGACTGGATTCCAGCAGACAGTCGCTTATGCGCTGTCCGACTAACCGGGTCGGTGCGAACTCGTTAAGATAAGAAAACTAGCCGCTGCCTGTTTGTTGCCTGTGCCTACTCTCCCAATGACTGCAGCGAGTACGAGATAAAAGATGTATTTTTAGGGAACCTTTCTAACCTTCTTCAAAAAGTTAATGCTCAGGTAGGTAGACTCAGTGAAAAGGAAAGACACCTGGGTGGATCTTATGGTGTCATGGCTCAAAGATCAGATAATGGCAATCGAATGCTGCAGCTACGCTTGTATGATCGCCTATTTCTAGCAACTACTAACTTTAAGCATAAGGATAAACATGTCCAGACCTGGAGACCTCCAAAGCCGACCCAACGACGGACCCAACTAGACTATCGATCATCGATGGAGAGGCTCCAGTGAAAACTTCCGTTCATTCTGTATCTCTTTTTTAGATTCAGACAATGCTCTAGTGCGAGTGCGCATTTGTTTGTGGACGTAGGAAAGACACTGTAAGCAAACATCTAAGGATTCTACTTAATGATAGCATAGCTAAGAATATATTTCAGGAAGAAGCTGAGATTTATAAGGATGGTGGTCCAGTTTTAACAGTTGTATTGACCGAGATCTTAGGTAGAATCTGGTAATTGTGCGTAGTCCCATCTGACTGGTCTCAGTCACTGATAGTTCCAGTCTATAGGAAGGAAAAATGTTTCCCTTAAGACAATCGCTGAGGAGTCATTTTGGATAATATATTATCTAAAATGTCAGCCTCGATAATTCTTAGACACGTAACTAGAGCTCGTGAAGAGCGGACTAAAGAAAATCAGGCTTGTTTTCGACCTGAAAGTGGGTGTGTAGACCATATTTTCACACTAAGACTGGTCCTGGAACACAGACACACATTTAGGCGTCCTATAATAGTTGTCTTCCTGGACTTTAAGGCGGCATTTGACTCAGTGGGTCGTGAGGTTCTGTGGCAGTTTCTGTCATTAAAAGGTGTACCAAAGAAGTACATCAACCTTGTATAAGCTCTCTAATCGAACACTACTGGTCGAGTTAAAATCTATGGCGAAACGTCTTCAAAATTGATTTCTTCAAGTGGTGTCCTTAAGGGTTGTCCCATCTCTCCATTCTTGTTTAACTCCGTCATAGACATACTTTTAGAGTTAGAATTATCTTCTGCTGACCATCTACCAGGAGAAACGCATGTTGACTTAGAGTATGCTAATGACATAGTTCTACTCGGTGAATACGCTGACAAAATTCAGAGTCTTCTGACTACCCTAAGCAACAAGGCAAGCATGTTTGGAATGCGATTTTCCCCATCGAAATGCAAAATATTGCTTTAGGATTGGCTTGCGTCGGCATCTGAACTAGTGATAGGGAGTGAATCAGTTGAGCGTGTTGACCGCGCTGATGGCCTGGTGACTGACGAAGTCTCAGCACGGAGACAGAAGGCTCGATTGGCTTTTGCCAACTTGCGTCACTTTTGGCGTTGGCGGTATATCCGTTTGCTCCGCCTACTATATAGATGTAAAACATGGCCGGTCAGAATGGAAGATATTCGTAGGTTACTGGTTTTCGATCATAGGTGTCTCCGACGCATTGCTCGTATATCCTGGGACAACCGAGTAAGCAGTACTGTTGTTAGGAAACGGGTCCCAGGTAAGGATGGCAGATCAATAGACAATGTAGTAACTTTCCATCAGTTGAGGTGGCTGGGACATATTTTACGTATTTCCAACCACCGACTGCCTCGGCGAGCGATGATGTGTGGTGTAGGGGTAGGTTGGAAGAAAGCTGAAGGTGGTCAAACCAAAACATGGCACAAATCTACAAGGTCACTGACAGGTGGACTGAGTCATGTTAGTAGTTGTCGACTACCCGGTTGGGGTCCGCGAAGTTACAATAATCGATGTTTGGAGACGGTTAGGATATTCATCAAATATCCTAAGACAGTTATTTTTGTAAGTCTAATTCTAATGGTCAATGTTATGGACGTCCTAGCGATCAAAGTCACGTACTCCAATGTTGTTTCCCATTGGTCATCCTGACTATCAATGTCACTTCAAATGTTGTTTACTATTCTACCTAACTTCATAAATATGCATTATCTGTAACATTTTATGACCCGGACCCGGATCCTTCGTCCGGGATCCTGATTCTCTTCTGAACTCGGACCTCGTGCTTTCTAGATGGTTGTAAAATCTATGTTCTGCTTCATATCAAGTCTTCTTCTTCTTCGTAATAGTTCAAGCATACCAAATTGACGTGTTTACCTGCAATGCATAACAGAAACCATGAACGACATGGCTCAAAATCGTTTTTGATGGCTCAAGTGCATCCATTCTTTGTGTTCTCTCAAATCCTAATCCTCCGAATGCTTCATTACCCTTATCTTTTTAAGTTTATTTCACTCGATTATACTTCCTGAATAATATCTTGGAACCCTAATATTCTCCACTACCGTGAATACTTCTACTACCTCTACTGGTATGGGATTTGAATTGACAGTCAAGTCTCTGTGCTAATGTGGTATGGCAAACTGAAATGATGTACGTACGAAGTTCTACGTTGTAACTGACTAACTGACTATGAAATCGTACTAAGACGAAATAGGTATCTAGGGAACTATGGCTTTCTATAATGGTTTAGAAAAGGTTATTTCTTAATGTAAGCCTAGAATCGGATGTATCCGGTAAAAATGATGAAACATTTGCCAGTAAAATAAGGTTCAAGTTACGTTATTACGAAAACAAATATCATCAACTAGATTAGTAGATATTCAGCTAGATGACTGTATATAATGTGAAATATTTCTAAATCTTACTCTATTCAAAAGTATTTTTTAAGCCATAACTTTTTTTCACCATTCAGTAAGTTAAAACGTAGAATTTCTTACGTACGTACATCAGTTCAGTTTGCCATACCAGATTAGCACAGAGACGCAATTGTCGCTTCAGATCCCATAGTATTAGTGGTAGTAGAAGTACTAGCAGTAATTGGAGAGATTAGGGTTCGAGGCTATTATTCAAGAAGTAGAATCTAGCGAAAAAACCTTAAAATGAAAAAGATAAAGATGATGAGGAATTCGGAAGGTTAGAATTTGACGTAACACAAAGAATGAATGCACCTGCACCTTCCCACATCCCTTAACATTTCTCTTATCTCCATGACTCACCCTTCTATCATTTCTTAGTCACCCTGTACCGCTAATGCAAACTTTTTTCACCAGTGAAATTTAAGTGAATAAACAAAAATTCATTACTTAACAGCCATGAATTTTCTACGAAACTTTCCACCTTCAGTATTGTAATAAATATTGTTGTCTTATGTAGATCAAAATGTTTGACATATTTTCATTTGACTGGTAAGTTATGAAGTAGTAAACAACACTCAACAATCAGTATCAGTGGTACCAGTGTACTTGAACCAAACGGTTGGGAAATATAGACCAAAACAAATAAATTTTTTCCTCATCCTACAAGCCAGCTATTGTATGAACTAAGTAGCTCAGTGAAGAACAAGTTGGCCGTTGAGGCGAAAGGTAATGGGTTGGAATCTCGAGAAAAACAGCGAAATATAGCTACCCGCAGTTAATGAGCCTCACTTAGGACGAAGAGCTTGTCATAATCACTCTGACTAGTAACAACCATACTAAAACAGTGTCACTTGTAACCTGTTGCCACTAAGAATTAAGGAGTTGTGACATCATTGATAACTACTGACTAATCGGCCTAGAAATTATTACAATATCCATAGTTGTCTAATGATTAGTCGGAGAAGGATAGTAGACACGATTTTATGAAAGAAATAAACACTGTTTGTGAGGATTTTATCCATCATCACATATTACGATCTAATTATGGTGATTTTAGACTAGCACATTTTCCCGAAATCAATTTAAATAACACGATCTAACACAGTTGACATTCACAAAAGAGAAATTACCTACAATCATTTATGTTTTCATACTATTTTAAGGTATATTTTGTTCTTAGTTGTGAAGGCTAAATGGGAATCGATTCACTTTTTAATGCTTTTAGCATTTATTTGTTTATCTATTTCTGTGATCTATCTATCGCTAGCTATTGATCGCTTATAGGAAGTGACCTTGAGGGTGGGATAGAAAAATAGTGCAATGGTGTATTTCTATTTTTTCAATCTGAAAATATTATTCGCTGTTATTGGGCACAAATATTGATGTCTGTAATATGTCTTGCATCAATTTTCAATAGTAAATTTTTAAATTTGTGATAGTTGTTGTTTCGATCAATACTATTGCCGTAGCAAGAGAACTGTGTAACTTGAAAGTCAGCAAACAATCAGTAATTCTATTTTATTGATTTTGCTGATTCTTTATACTGAGGCATATTTTCAATGAATACAAACGATTAGAAGGGTAGCTGGTGGACATATTAGTATTCTAGATTTTAGAAATTACCAGATATTGTTAATTCTGACCACTCCTGAGCGACGTAGAAGCTTGTATGTATATGAATTGGTTCAGATTGTAATACAGCATAGGGTAATCGAATTATCAAGACAAATACCAGAGTTTTAAAACTAGTGACAATATTACTGGTGTTAGAAAAGATTGAGTACATACAATAGGATTCGAGAAAGAAGTATGAAGCCGTGAAATAAGAGGTATAAATTAGTTTGGAAATTAAATATCGAAGGAAAGACGGAGTAAATGAACATGATCCATTCTGACCTATTCTGATTCGTTTTTACTAACTATTACTAACTATTTTCTAACTATTAATTACAATAACCAGATGGACCCAGAAAGTCTGTACCTACCTCGAAAAAATTCATTATGATAACATAGTTGGATGGATCGCAATCGGTGGAACTTTAAGGTTTGCTCTTCTATTAAAAACAAATAAAGACTTGCATAACCCAGTGATTAAAAATTTCGGATAAATTATCTTCCGAACATCTCTGATTGGGATGTTTCTTTGTAGATTTTTTGGCCTAGACGAAAATCGGTAACCATGAAGTGTAAGCGTCATGGGGTTTGTTTACTTATCGGGTCTGATTAGTTAATGCTACGATGAAGAACCTGTCTGCTGCTTCGTAGATTTCATTAATTGCCTGGCTGAATTCATGACATGATGTAATCTTTCAATAAGGTTGTATAAACCACAAATTTATTTAGGTTGATACACCTCTGAAAACCTGGGGAAATTGGACAATAGTTTTATTTCAGTGTGGAGGTATTTATCGAACCCAATATTTTCAGGGTTGTTTTAGGTAAGTAATCTACTTGTTCGTTTTCTTGTTTTAAATTTTGAAACTGTTAACTTGAAAAAGAAAGAAGAGTACTTTATTCTTTTCACATTTTATAATTCTAAATTATTAGATGCTTGTTTCTTGGACAGAAGAGGAAGTTTCAAAATATTCTTGGAATCCGAAATTAAAGGTGAATATTAAAAAAAGATTACAACTTGTATATTGTGTTGCTTCAATCAGCTAAAGATATTATTTGTAAAGGTTTGTGTTTTCACATTATCGATCAGCCTACATTAGCGAATTCACATGTGGATTCGATAGCTCACTGAATAATAGCTTTAGCGCTTGAAACGACAGATTCTGCATTGAATGTAAACATTGGGATAAAGGTAAATTCAGTTACGGATTTCTGTATAAGACAAACTGTACCTCCTGGATTTTATAGCGATCTACCTTAAAATCTCAAAAAAATCAAAACTAGTTTGTGATATTCTTGAAAATATGACAAATAAAAATACTTATCGTATATATTAGAATGAGAAGATTATTGCCTGTGATGTTGTTTAGGATGGTGATGAAAGCTTTACGATTTAACCGTTCAGAATATCTACGTGAGGTACATATTTTTTCTACCATTTTAATGGAAACTACTCTAAGTAGTATGTCATCTGTAACATGAAATACCTGAACGTTATCAGAAAGGGTGTGATAGGTGTTCTGACTGGTAGAACTAGTTACAAGACGATACAAATCAATGGAAAAAATATGATACGGAATAAGACAGAATTTGTTTCGTGAATTCGTCCGCACAACTGTTAGCGGCTATGAATTACGTCACTCGATCTCCCTAACTTCTAATCACGGTTATTAGGTGTTCCTCAACCAGACATCCTGAATCTACATTTGACGACCTCATGGATTGATGAGAATTCTTGGTTTGACCGTTGCTTGCTTAAAACCTTCAGCCTAATTCTACACCAGTTACCACTGCCTGTTATCGCAATAATATCAGTTAATCCAGATTCATTTCTTTATCAATTGATTTTCCATCTTTGTTTAACATCCATTGCTAAAAACTGTTCCAACTATGGATATAGGCCTCAGTTCAGTTGTTTATTTTATATACTCACTTAAATCGATGTTTAACGCTTAAGGAAAATTATCTGATTATTTAATAACACTATTTCATTGAAGATAATCTTTTCATTGCATTAGTTAGGCAATTGAATTTATTCTAAATCATATAAATTCATCATATTTCATGGATTCTCATCAGCTGCTTCAAACTTACTTCAAATTACTGAAAATTATTAACTGATTAAATTAGATGAATGATAATCAGTAATTATAATTACTTGCAAATGTTGTTTATATCATGTTACATAAGAAAAATGATCTCAGTAACATTAAGGTCAGGTACCAAACAACTGAAAATAAGGCTTACGAAACAGTTGTGAATACGCTTAGAAAAATTTTTAAAAGTTTAGAGAAAATAGTCTAGAATTCACACAATGTATTAAAAGAACATTTTTAAAATCAGTAAGGCACAAGTAACTGGCTTCAACAAAGAATCTGTAAAGTAAGAAGCACTGATCATTGAGATACAATCATATCGAGTATGAGAGATACTATTGAGGATATTCATCTGTCAAGTCACCAGCTGGGAAAAATGAAGATGTTTAAAAATGAGTACCAACCTAGAAGCTGAATTGTTTGATGATTTTGTTGCAAGACCTAAAGTGCCTGGAGTTCCATACCGTGTTCGGTTGCTTATTTATAATATTGAGAGATTGCAGAGTGCAACAAAATATTTGTCTAGTAAATTCAAATTTTCAATGCTACTTAAGCAGATATTATGACTGACGTGCAAAAGAAACATCTTATCGATTCGTTTAATTAAAAAATTAAAACAAATTAATGAACCGTAGAGTGATCAATTCAAATTTACTATACCAGTGGTAAAGTGATAACTGTTTCCATCAGATTAAAACCATGCAAGCTAAATATACTACAATAAAATCTTTAAATTACAATAATCAATTTCAGTTTTGCATTATTGTAACTAAGTTATTCGAAGATATGAAAGTTAGCAGAGTTCCGTGTAAAACTAACTGAACGAACTAATAATATAAGTAAAGCTGAACTATAAAGGTGAGAGAATCATGAGTGAATAAGTAACTTGTCTTATGGAAAATATCACAACAAATTATGATGGAGTTTCGTTCTCTGAGCTGGATGTTTTGGTTGTAGAACTTTCACTGTTCTTCAGAACAACATCATTAGCACAGACTTCAGGTAGAAGTGAAGTATTAGGATTTCTCCATGTGTGACTCGTAGTTTGTTCTGGTGACCTCGATAGTGATTGGTTATTATTGACCTTAAATTTATCGTTGTTTGCATCTTTATTCTGATTGTATCCCCCTTTGATCTATTTCTTGATCCTATGTTTGTCTATGATTTTTCTGATTGGTTGATATATTGGGTCAATGTCGATGTGTTTGTTGATTGCTGACTGACTTGAGTGCCTAGCTTCTAAAATTTCTCTAATGTTCTTTGTACTCCCCAAATCTAGTCTTTTCAACATTGTTCCAATCGAATATATCTCCGTAGTTGTCCGCGTGTATTGGTTTCAGGGAAGCAATGTCATGGCGTTTGACTGCTTACTGATGTTCACTCAGAGGAAGCTGAAGAGGAAATCGAAACAAAATGTTAACTATCAATCGCAGTTTGAATAATCTCACTGAGAAGTTACTGCCCACCGACTGAGTGATGAATAATTCCACTCAAGAAAAATGCATTGATTTGTTAGGACTAGGATTTATATCTAAGAGTTAAGGTTTGGGGATTTATAATTAGCTTTCGAGTAAAGATTAGAATGAAGAGTTTTTATGATACAGGGTCAGCTTTAGTGTTGGGATTAGGAAATGTAGAGACCAACTGCATGACCTGCCCTCAGTCCTGAGCTGAAAACCTAATCCTATCATTATAATAGCGATCATTCAGATCTACCGTTTCCTGAATGACTGATAAATAACAAGAATCTGTCAAGCTCACCCTTATAGTTCAGAGTTGATAATATTTTACATACTATCCCTTTATTTATTTCAACTTATGTAAAATGTCCTCTCTTTCATTCTTCATCTCTCTTTCGTATAAATACATTTAATCCATTAGTCAGACATCATAAAATATAATGATCTACGTGAATTAAAACCTGATGACAAACGACTAGTTGATGTACCAGGTTATCAGTTAAAAGTTATGCCAAATAAATCTGGTGTACATTTACCGGTGGAAGTATACGGAGGAGGTGAGTATTCGTATCTTGTATAACTTGTATATTACTTTTGTGGTATACGAGGAAGAATTGAATGGTCACCACGTTATGTCGCAAAATGACTTAGGTTGTAAATGTTGACCATGGGGTTGCAATCCAATGGTTTTAATATCAGTCGTTTGCCTGAAGATTCTAAAATTGTTCCTGAGTAGGGTTTCGGATATTCACTTTTGAAGGTTTCATATTAGTAATCAATAGTTTGTCAGGAGAATGATATAGATCCGTAATCAAGTGAGTCAGCCAAATCAGGAGTGAGAAAGTTACCAACGGATGGTGATATGAGGTGATGATGGTGTGTTGAAAGTAAAGCAAAATCAGGATATTATGGGGGTAATGATGAAACTCAAAGGTTCTGGGTTCAATTCTAAGTACACGAATGCTCGCTGCTGACAAATGCTGATCCAAGACTAAGCAGCTGTCCGCTGATCCATGATTTTGAATGACTGGCCGACTAAAATCTGGAAGCGGAACAGGTAACACAGATTAAGTAGAAAAACTAGAAAAAAAGCCATTAGAGATATAAAAACGAACTAAAAAGTCGAAATTAGAGAAAAAATCAGGTAATTTCAAGAGCTAAACCACATTCAGATAAGCAGGCTACTGAAAATTATTAAGTAGTTTAACTGATTTGTAAAAATTAGAGAGTGTAAAAGTGATTGTGTGAATACAAATTATGTTTCTCTCTTCATATATTTTCATTTGTTAAAAAAAGATTTAGGCTATAAAGTGTTCGGGGACAAAGATATATAAAATAACCCTGATATTTTACTCAACAACTTATTCTTTTAATAACAAAGTGATTACAACAACTTGTGAATGGAATATTTATACATTCTCATTTTACTGACCAACGTTCCAGTGTGTCTAGCTCCTTATGGATACCAGATTTGAGTTGAAAGACTCCAAACTGTGTCAGATATGAAGACACACTCGCCAAGTGATAGATATCATAATTTATTGGAACTCAGCAAAGTAGTTTCTGACATTTGAAGGAAGAATGTCCACATGAATGCAATCACAATAAGCTAGTAAATCGCAGTGTAAATCCCACTGTAAGGTTTTTTTGCATTACGACTGGGTGAGTATAGAAAAATATGTAACTTTCCAAACCAATTCACGGGTGATTATTATCTATATCTTTAAAACAACTAGTCTCTTTTATAAATGTTAATAAAACAACGAGAAAACGTAGTTGATCTGAAAACTGTGAAAGTATTTACGCTAAACATTTCGAATAGTCTAGACACACACACTTATTAGTACATGAAAAGTAATGAAGTTCAACCAAATAAAAGTTCAAATAAACATAAGGTAATCTATGTAAATAAAGGAGAGCGAAAATCAACATGGTATGACAAGGATAATAAATTGTCACATGATCCTAGGTCGTAAAATGGCTTTAAGATTTGTCGGGTGAATTCAAGGTTATAACAAATCGTTTCCGTACACATGGGGGAGGCTGAATTTACGTATAGTCAGGGCTTCTATAAACCTCAGAATTTGTCCTTGAACATTTCTGTACGATGTTTTAAAAGCTCTAATGATGTTAATTCCGTGCCCCGCCTCGATTTTATATTTTGCTATAGATGGAAATAGTTTTTTATTTCCCACGTTTATCAGGTCATTCGACATTATTAGCGATTTAGGCATATGTTCCATGGTCCTTGATTGCAATGTCCGATTATGTATGTTCATACAAACTTGTAAAGTGATAAATATAATAAGACGTGAAGAAATCACTAGAGCAATGTCCAGGCCTATATGGAATCATGGGCCTGTAGTAAATGAGAGCACAGGTGGGGCAACCGAATTGTATTTAACGAAAATTACAGAGTTACTCAGTAAAATCGGAAAACCATATCGTAAATCGTTCATTTGCAAAAGATCAGTTCATCCTATGGAACTGGACTGTTTCTGTTGCCAAACATCAATCCATTGTCACTATTCATGCGTTTCATACAAATTCCATTGTTTTCTAACTCTTCCTTTCTTGATCTTCCCCCCGTATTATGCTACCAGACTTTACGCTGACACTCTTGTTATATACTACTTATAAGTAGTTCGCACCACATCACCACAGGCCTAGCTCAACCAGTCGATCATCGCAGTATGTTTTCTCGATGGCTAATTTTAGTCTGTCTTAAAATTAAACTGTTTGATTTACCTCTAAATGGTGAAGAGATATAAAGACTTCATTTCAACAGAATGAAACAGAGATTTTTATCGTAACAGACTTTTACACCTATTTATTAACTTGAGTGGAATACCATTTGGAATTAGTGTTTCAGTCAACAGTTTAGCGTCGTCTTAGAATGTATCTGTAGTAGATGTTCTCTGTGCCCCATTGAAGAGGCATTTTACCAAGCGTCACTTGTGCTGCAGTGGAAAAAAGCTGTAAATTTGAATCTTGTCCAATCAGGTTGGCTTCTTATAAACTGACAGCCTTGCATTTCTATCCTCAGACTGACCTTTATTAACTTTCATAGATGTGTTAACAAGTATATATGTGACCTGATTGTTCAAAATGTATGGTGCAAATACAGACAGATTTTTCAGATCAGCCGTGCCTTCTCTCAGTTCTCTCATTTAGAATTCGTTTTATAGTTGGTAGGTAACTGGATTATTACTTACTTACTTAATTACTTACGCCAGTTACCCCCAATGGAGCATAGGCTGCTCACCAGTTTTCTCCAACCAACTCTGTTCTGGGCCTCCCTTCCCAGTTCTGTCCGATTTCTGTTCATTCTTCTCATATCTTTCTCTATTTTTCGGCGTAATGTGTTTCTTGACCTTCCTCTTTCCCTTTGACCTTGAGGGTTCCATGTAAGGGCTTGTCTTGTGAAGCAGTTGGGTGCTTTTCGCAGTGTGTGTGTCCTATCCACTTTCACCGCTTCTTCCTGATTTCCTCCACGACTGGATTCTGGTTTGTTCTCTCCCACAGTAGATTGTTGCTGATAGTGTCTGGCCAACGAATACGAAGTATTTTGTGTAGACAACTGTTAACAAATACTTGTATCTTTGGGACGGTGGCTTTGGTAGTTCTCCAAGTTTCCGCTCCATACAGTAGAACTGTCTTGACATTTGTATTGAAAATCCTGATTTTGGTGTTGATTGATATTTTTTTGGAGTTCCAGATATTTTTCAATTGTAGAAATGCAACCGTTGTTTTGCCGATTCGCGCCCTCACATCTGCATCGGATCCAACTTGGTTTTCGATGATGGATTGACACACTGGTCGTCTTCTCTTGCATTTGGTGTTGCGTGTGCGATAGAAGAGCCAAGTCATCTGCGAAGTCCAGATCGTCCAGCTGCGTCCTAGCTGTCCAATGAATACTGTGCTTCCCTCCAGATGTTGACGTCTTCATAATCCAGTCGATCATCAGGAGGAAGAGAAAGGGTGAGAGTAAGCAACCTTGCCTGACACCGGTCTTCACCTTGAACTAGTCTGTTAGCTGTCCTTCCCGCACGATTTCGCAGTTTAACTCACCAAAATAATTCTGTCTGATGTTGACTATCTTCTCAGGCATGCCGTAGTGTCGAAGAAGCTATCATAGTGTTTTCCTGTCTACAGAATCGAATGCTTTCTCGTAGTCAATGAAGTTGATGTAGAGTGGTGAGTTTTATTCAATTGATTGTTCCACAATGATCCGTAATGTTGCATTTCGGTCGGTGCACGATCGATCCTTACGAATTCCAGCCTGTTGGCCTCGAAGTTGGGCGTCTACAAAGTCCTACATTCTGTTTAACAATACCCCGTTGAAGACTCTGCCTCATATTGAGAGAAGAGTGATGCCTATGTAGTTCTTACACCTGCTGAGATCCTCTTTCTTTGGTATTTTGATCAGGTATCCTTCTTTCCAATCTGATGGTACTTGTTCCTCATCCGAAATCTTGTTGAAGAGAATGTGAAGTATTTTTGCAGTTTCTTCCACGTCTGCTTTCATTGTCTCTGCTGGAATGTTTTCTGGTCCTGCTGATTTGTCACTCTTGGTTTGTCTGATGGCCATACTGATCTCTTCAATTGTAGGCGCGCCAACATCGATTGGGAGGTCCGTAGATGATGCTTTGATGTTGGATGAGTTCAGGAGAGCTGATCGATTCAAGAGTTCTTCAAAGTGCTCTACTCACCTGTCTCACTGTTCTTCAGTGTTGCTGATTACTTTGCCTTCCTTGCTTTTCACTGGTCGTTCTGGTTCGCACTAGTTTCCAGGGAGCTCCTTTTTTGAATCACACAGTTGTCTCAAGTTTCCTTTTCTTGCAGCCTTTTCCGCCGTCATTGCTATTTTTGTTTGTCAGCTCTGATGCTCTTCTTGACTATCCTGTTTGCTTCTGTGTATTCAGCTTGTGTCCTAACTTTCTCTGCTCTTGTTCAGCTGACATTGATTGCTGCCTTCTTGTTCCTCCTCCCTTCAATTTTTTCAGGAATACCAACAGAGATCCGTTCTTTGTGATGGTGCTTCATGTGACCCAGAACCTCCTGACATGTTGAAGTGATTGCCTTTTTGATCCCTTTCCAATTGTTCTCCAATGTTGTTTCCTCTCCACTGAGTATATCGTGCAAGGCCTGGAACCTATTGCTGAGTGCCTTTCGTAGAATTGATCTTTATCTTCGTCATTGTAGTCGTTGTATAGAGTCGGATGACATTCATTTTGATGTCCTCTTTCTTTGCTTTGAAGGAAACTTTGATGAACCTCGGTCAATGAGACTCCCATCCTATCAGTGCCTTTTGTGCATGTTTGGACAGCATCAGTGCAACTCCCTGTCTACGTGAAGCTTTTTCCTCTTCATGACCAGAGTATAACAGCAGTTCCCCTGAAGCTAATCTCAGTCGTCCTACCTGTGTCCAATTCGTTTCACTGATTCCAAGCACCTCCGGGTGGTATCTGTAGGATTTAATTCGTCCTACAGATGTAGTTTATGACTTTGAACGCGATATTGGCGAGCACAGAGTCTATAGGAAAGCTATAGTCAGAACAAGGACAATCTTCTTTAGACTTTTTCTGTTTCTAAACATAAGAACAATTAGATTAGTACAATAAATAAGGAAATTACAGCTACTTAGTGAAATGAGCAAACATACCGACCAATATAGCGTGTCTTCTGGGAATGGATAAAACTATGAGCCACCTCAATACAATAAGATAATAATGTCCTTCAATTTGTAGGTCATTTACACCAAAGATAGTTTATGGATACGTCAGACTAGATCACGTGGTGAACTCTTTAACCACGATTTGATTGGTTGGTTATGAAAATAACTGACAGTATCTTTTCGTTTCTGCAGTAACTTGAAGTAGTCTTCCAGTCTCCCACAATGTTCGAACGTTCCGTGTACCTAAAAGAATCGTTTCTCTGGTTGTATTTCAGTCCCACTTAAGGCATGATTGTATTTCAAGGATGACTTCATATTTGGCATATGTTGTGGTCTGATAATTCATGTACGTTAACTATTGAGTGCCATAACTGATAGTAGCATGTATACTATCCTCTCCCTTCAGACTCAGGACCGAGGATAGGATTCATGCATACTGCATGAGTTAAACATACTTTAACCTCAGCCCATGCTGATCCTATCGGTTGGAAAGTTACACTACTCAACGCTAAGGACATTAGACTCTGAACGAAAGAGGTAGGAAAGCGAAATTACAGTCAGAATACCGACCAACGAATCGGGCAAGTGAAATCGAAACTGTCTCACTCACTTTTTATTCATAAACGTTTTTGTTATTATTATTAAAATCATTTATATTACCTTCCTCGATCAAGGGAGTGCTAAATGTAGTTTATGAGTCTTTTTGGTACAAAAAAATAAATGGCTAAATCTGATACATTGAAACTGCACTATGTATAAAGGATAGGTTCAATATCTGATAGAAAAATGTGATACAGTAGGGTAATTGAGTCTAGATACTTTAGTTATTTCACTCTTATTATTAATTTATTTAATCAAACGCAAACATTTTTACAAAAGGGATCCTAAATATTTACGTGCTACATAAATTATCGAATTTGTGAGTCGGATAGGATACTGCCTGTATGCCCAAACCGTAGGGAGCCCATTCACAAGCTTTTGACTAATAGATCTAATCCATAATGCAGTAACGTCACCAGATACAGGCTCATATCAGCCGGTAACGAATAATGGTCTCTGGTGTACACTAATATGTCAAGCCCTCATGGTTTGTCCTAACCTTCGGACAGACTAAGTAATCCATTCTTCTCGAGTTATTATTCACCCATATTTTGACCCTGTCATTAATTCACTTAAAATCTTAGTTTTTTTTACTTGCGTACGCGTGTGAATTGCTTGTTTCGCTCATTACATATCTAGCTTGCTTTTGTCAGACTATAAATAATTATTCATGCCTTATAACAGTTGACCCACTTGCGTTTTCCGTTTCTCTTTGAAGCTTTGCATTTTATTGCCTGTTTGCTTACGTGAATATATGAAACAAATGCATCAACAAAACCGTATAGGGCTTTTAGTTGCCTCCCCCACACAGTGAGGGTTCGCCTAAGAATGATATTTCATAGTAATTCATAGTATTTTCACTTGGTACAAATCAGAATCAGATGATAGGCCACTAAACGTTTCATACACCATTTGTTTCTTCAGGATACTTGACCACATATGCACCACTGGTTTGGAATTCGAGTTTTCCAACTCCCCTAGGTGGATCCTTTATACCCACCAACGCTTTTAATGCCCTGGCCGGACACTCGCTTCTCGTTCTTTCAATTTCGTAAACAGCACCTGTGCCACGATAAGACAGTGAGTAGTACTTTCCTGGCAGTAGCCATTCACGCGTGGCTATATGTGAGCATTTCGAGAGAGAGTTGACTTTCTCCCCTCTCAGCCGTTCCAGGGCATTATTATTATTACTACTATTATTATCGGCTACAGTATAGTAGAATAAAGACAAATAAGGATGTAACCTAAAATAATAATACTCACTTTATGTTTTGTAATCAGTCAATTCATTAAAATGGTAACAATTTTTTTTAAATATTTGATTATTTCTTTGAAAAAAATTGTCAGATCCTGCAGTTTTTCATACTTTAAGATGGACAGAAGTACTGGACTCAATTTTTTCAACTGAACCGAATTTACATTTCACATATTTTGCAAGTTTAACTGGAATTTTACGTGTATATCCAGGTAAGTTTGATTGATTGGCATTATATGACGTGTTGAGTGTTTTTGTTGTAATTATACGTCAGTTAAGAATTTACAATGCGTTTTCTTCTAGAATTTTGGATATTACAAGGTAACTTAGATTGGTTCAGGAATGCAACGGAACCAGTTAAGCCATCAGAACTATGTAGTTGTAACATGAAATAATTTTTTGAAAGAAAATAAAAGTACATAAACTGATCAACAGAATTCAACTGACACTGAAGAACTGGGCAAACATGATATTGGTCACTGTTCAATGGTTAAACCATCTTTAATATTACATTTCTACAAGAGATTAATCTCTGTTAAAATAATCGGTGGTGAGGTCTCAAATTATTAGGTAGGATGACTCAGGTTCTAATCTGATAGTAAAAATAACTTCCCTCAAAATTATGATTATGCCTTACTAGTGAACACCAACTTACATAAAATGTAGGTCAAGGATTTCGAACCGATTGCTTTCAACCATCAAACACCTCAGTATACTACATATGATGTTGAATTTTTCAATATAGTAGCCACACTGAAAACTGACCACCAGAATTGGATCAGCAATAAGAACTAGACAAGCACGACATTAGTCATTATTCAGTGATATAGAAATTTCAGAACGGCAGAACATTTTGTTTTTCAGTCGACATATATTTTTGTGAAGCCAACTCTCTCTATGCCACTATTTGAACAGACTTCATAGCTACCCATGTTGTGTATAGACATTCCACGTGCCTATTTTAATTGTTGATCTGATGATCACGTGGGGAATCAGGCTTGCAACTTCTGGAAAACCACCGAAAGGCATCATAACCCTCTTATATGAGGATCCAATAGCTCCAAACGAGGAGTTCAGACTGTTTAAATGATTCTGCTTGGCTTTTTATTCTTTTAGCAAGGTTCTTCTTTGCAGGGTAGAAGTGATAAGCCCAGAGGCTACATTAATATTTTTTGGTAGTGTGACAATCAGTTAAAACTCAGAATTTTTCATTTCTTGACTTTGCACAAACAATATGTGAACCGACCTACCTTCACCAGTATGTATACTTATTTGAATCATTCGAGTCAATAAATCATAACTACAAACCATCATCTTTGAGAACTCCTTTGTATTGCAAAGTTGTAAAATTTTATTCAAATTGTTAACATTAAAAAAATTATATTCTACAGTAATGTCATCTTTTCATAGATAAAACAGTTTTATCTTTGATCCCGTCAGAAGTAATCTGACATGCTGCAAATGCTCTGTATCTAATTTAGGATAATTGAATAATTAAAATGTGTCACTTGAGTTTTTCATACTGTTCTATGAAAACTTCTCCAAAGATCATAGTTTATAGTAACGACTGATGAAAATCAACTATATCTAGATTGAAACAGTCGTCATGAGTACCAATGAATGATCAGCATATTGTATGACAAATCGATTAAAGTTGTAAATAAGAACTCTTGGATTCAACCATGATTAAGCGTTTTCCGTTTCTGAGTTTTCAAAGGGCACTCCATATAAGATCAGTCTGTGACAAATACAACCTACAATGATCTACAAATAATTGAAAAATGACTTGTATATAACCTATTTCTTTGTTGCGGTTGTTGTTGTTTTTGTCATTTCAGCATTCCCTTGGAGAGAACAAAATGTTGATATGTTTGACGTTCGTAGACGTTCTTGGTAAGTATTGTAGCAAAGAATAATACTAAGTGATGTTCAGTTAACCTCTATGATACACCTACTACTTGTTGTAAGAGGTTCATATTTTCGATGACGTTCAAATTAAAAAACAGTAATTATTTCATCTGCATAGTTAAATTCGAACCGAAAAGCTGGTTGGGGATATTTGTAGCCAAATACAATTCTGTGTGTCAGTGACCCTTATAAAATATCAGTCAAATACTCATTTGATAAAATAGTGGCTATTCGAAACACGTTAGCTGGTCGAATCACATCATATTTGAAGAAATAGATAGTGAATCCAGATTAGAATATCAACATCACACATATGTTCAAACTAACCATCAGGTTAGCAATTCTGAGGCTAGACACAGTACTAGGTAAGTATGGCGAACCGATTGATGGGGTAGTGAAACTTCATCAGCTGAGACGGTTGGGACATGGATTTCGTATATTCACAAACTGGCTGGTTGATATGGTTGATATTGGAGTAGTTTGGAAGAAAGCTAGCGGAGGCTAAACCAAAACATGGCATTGTTGCATTAAGTTATTGACTGCTGAATTGAGCCAGGTTAACTGGTGTCGACTACCTGATTGGTGTCCACGTGACTATCACAACCAATGACCGAAGACTGGGTGACATGGCTCAGAAATGTTCAAAATGCCTAGGTGTGTATTCACTCTCTGTATTCCCCTAGATCGTAATTCTCTCAATTCCTCATAAGCTCCTTTTATTAATTCATTAATTCATCTTTTCTTCCTGAATTGTATTTCGGATGCGAAATCTTTTCTGTTACTACTAGCGCTGTTATATTCCACTACTGATCACAATTTAACTTCAACCGAAAGGCTTTTGTTTGCTTAAAAACAAAAAAATATTTAGATTCAAAGCAATTTCTCTTTTTTACATGTCAATAGTTAGTTAGTTCATTGGACTACTAAATAATGATATGTACGTTGTATGCGTTTTAACATTAATTTGAAGGAATGATATAAAAACGTTTTAAGGTGATTTAAACAAACTATTAATAATCAAAGCTAATTTTATTCAGTCACAATTGACGAAATTCAAACTAACTGGGTTTTACATGAAATTAAGATAACCTACAATCAAGACAGAATGCGATTATGTTAGACTTTTCTATTCTTTTAAAATTTACAACACAAGCCCTTAAAACAACATTAAATCATATTGAACAACGTATATAAATGTAAAATATGATCAAACATTAATCACATACTCAGTAATGATTAAATAATAAGTCATTTTAGTAAAATTACGCAAGTGTCAGGATAAAATAAGTAACACTCCATTTTATTGAATAACATAAATTTTCGATTTTCGTAGAAAGAATTTTTCAATTAAAAAAGTTTGTACGAATTAATGGATGAACATAAATGGCATTTAATCAAGATTTTTAATCAGTTTCACTATCATCACATGTCTTCTCATTGATCAACTTAACTAATATATGTGAATTCTATAACAACTAAGAAACGGAGAAATATATACGAATAGCCCTCATAATATGTATGCCACCGTAATTAAATTTGTGATTGCTTGTAAACATTTTATGAAAACACGTTCAGCTGATGGACATAATTAGTTAATTGGATGAAAATCTGACACAGTGAAGTTTATTGTTACAATGCACGGGTCCCGAAACTGAACATGAAACCTGCTAACCCACTCCTATACTGACTATTTCAACCTGAAGGCAAAATCAGGAGAGAAAGTCTATTTGGTTACTGAATAATATGTACAAATACTCATCTATATACATATTAACACCTTGGAAATGGAAGCCTTCTCCGATTGGTCACTACTGCATTTCTGACCATGAATGAATATTTTAAAAAATAATGGTCTAGAAGTGTGAGTAGACCATCTTGTATAACTTCAGGGTTAAACATATATCGTTTGTAACATTGAATTATCATCACATTATCTTTACCAACTAGCTAATACTGAAAATACAAAGTTCTAATTTAATGCTTTCTTTCTATTTATTATAAGTTGTCTTAGAATCTGAATGTTGGTGTGTACTATTAATGAAACCCCTCTATTGGAAAGAAACATGGGTCACATGTTCTTGTTTTCAATGGGGCTTCAGCTGCTATCACCTCATGACTAGATCTATTTATTTGTTTAACAATTTACTTCAAGATTTTCTGTTAAAGTTGTATCATAAAAAGTACATAATCTTTTATCAGTGTTTAAATATGTATACCTTCATAGTTTATATTATTTCTACGAAGGGGGTTTTGTGGAGATTTGTTTAATTTTTCACAATGAATTTATCATAAGTTGATCTCAATTAGGATATTATTTAAATATAAGGAACATTGAACTATTATTTAGTTATAACAAGAGACTCATAAATAGCTCAGACCCACGACTGGCCTTACTAGAGATTGGACCGAAGGACGAAACAAGTTGTTCTTTCCTCCCTTATTTCCAAAGGTACCCTGATCAGAATCAATCTCGGACAAATACAACCTAGAAATATATTATTTGTAAATAAGGTATGAATAAATTTGTCTACTACTATGATTATTATTCAGACATTTCTTTATGTATATATAAATATGTTTCTTTTTAAATTTTGTATTCACTTAAGGTTTATACAAAGTGCTTCTGTTCCCAAAGATTTGTTTATATTACTTGACACGTAAGTTTAAATATTTTTAAAAGAAAATACTTTAATTGACTGACCTAAAAAAGTCGTCAGAGTTATATTTGAACTACTGGTTATAAAATTCAAATCCCTACTAAAAAAACTCAAGGTTATTTCTCTGTTAGATGGTTCCGATTAGTCGATTAATTAACATTTGTATGTAAGGATAATGACTGAATTTATTAAACGTTTGCTGAATTGTACGGTGTTGAAAATGAACTGAACGGAAAGAATTTCTCCGAATAAATTGTTTTTCAATTAAAAACTAAAAATAATTTTACCTAGGTATATAAAGTCTATGTTTCGAAATCTGATTAGAAAAAAGAGATAGATAATTATGTACAATATTTGAATCCATATGTGTTTTCATTAGCAAAGTTTATTTAGATTTGCAGGCTAACTCAAAATCTTTCTGGTAATCTAATTTAGCAACTAAAAAGTCAGAAGGTGTAAGGTAGGTAGATTACATCCACAGATAGTTCTGTGATATCAAAGGTGAACGCAAAACCCAATTGTTTACCTTTGATTTCAAGTAATAAAGAGAGTGCTTACAAATACGACGCATTAATAGAATGTTTAAATTTTGAGCCGCTCTCAATATATCGAATGTAGCTCACTTGTTCTGCTCGTTTTTATGTTTTCTTGATAAATGTCTTTTATAGAAGCAAAAATATTAAACATTACATAATGTTATGTTCATTAATTAACTTTTCATTTAAATAAATATTATTTTAGGAGTGGAAGTATGACTGGTCAGTCGTTGAAATTGGCTAACGTATCAGCTCAAAAATTAATTGAAGCTCTTGATGTGGATGATTATTTCACTGTAGCACATGTAAGATAAACAGAAATTCTATGAAACGATTTATTATAGAGCATTAAAATCTTATACTGTGTGTTTTACACATATTCTTTATTCTGAATCAACTTTCAACTTGATTTAACCAAGAGTGAAAAGAGTCTGCTCTCCTTTTCGGAGTGTTCTTATATGACAACGCGTATTTAACCTATTCATTACATTTTAGTGATGGGTATGTTGTTTAAGAAATAGAGAGGGTGAAACGTGAATGTCTGGCGCTTAAGTCGGGTTGGTTGATACAGAAGATCCATTGAGGAGAGTTGACAAACCCTGATTCCAAACCAATGATACACATGGGCTCCAGGATCCTGAAGAAACTAATGGAACATGAACTTACTCTTGGCCACTGGCTACTACAAGACTGCATCTTCTAACGTTGTTTCACTTCTTGATCAGCGGCCCGAGGAGCGGTCTCCTAAATAAAAACTACCAACTTTGGTTTAGGCACGCAGGCAGCATCCTATCGCACATATTCAAGAGTTTGTGTAGCGCATAAATGTTTTGGTGCTCTTTTGTATCAATGTGTATCTGTTTAAATAAATAAATAAATAGTAGTGATAATAGTAGTAGGTTAGAACTCCAGTTAACCAATTTCAGGCAACTACATAATATAAAAGGTCTTCATACGAAATGGATGCAGAAATTTATGCTTAATAAATGAAAAAATCTATCTAGTTTTTCGATCATCAAGTAGTAAAGAATGTCATGTTAAGTTCTCATCTAATTCCGTACAGTTATAAATCCAAATTCATGTTCCAAAAGGATGTTCAATGTAAGGCGAATATATTATATAAGATTACAGTTTAGGAAATTTAGGATTATCGGCTGAATAATATGGAAAATGAGCAGTAATAATTTTGGTGTAAAAGTCAAGATAGCCTGATGAGAACTTGCTAATTAGAGCATTTTTCGTTCAAATTTCTGTGTTTTAAATATGATGGAAATTTTTCAGTGAATAAAATATGATATTTATTTAGTTCCTTTAATGTTGATCTAATTTGACTGATCAAGTTGTGATGTGGCTATTAGTTTGGATGATTGAAAATTGTGTTAACCATGTTGAAATTTTAGATGGTTATATGTAAATGTCATAACCGATACCATTTATTATTTATCATTTAACTTTCCAACAGCATGTGATCTGTTTCACATAATAGCATTCATTAATAAAAGTTTTTTACAATCATTCCAATGAAGCTAATCCATTGTTGAAGATTTTACCGAATATTATTCAGTTACAAAAGATTTAATTGTTCAATAATCATTCTACTTATGGAATGCTCATTAACTAAATATTCATGATGAAGTTAATCATTTCTACTATCTTTATTATATATTGTTTGTTTAGTTTCCTGGAGCTAAAGATCATGTTGCACCAATGATTGTTACAGCAAATAATGAAAGTGAACCAATTTGTTTTAATTCATTTGTTCAAGCAACTAGACGTAATAAATTAGTGAGTTAAATTATTATTTAAACTGTTGTTTACTTTATCCTTCTCATTAGAATAATTCGAAGAATGAATGGATGATAAATTATTGTGCGCAGTGCAATAATTGCACCGATTGATTATTTCACTTCAGAGAGATCGATTTCTTAAACGAGTATTTGGGAAGCATGATCTGTATGCGGTTAATCACCCTGTAAAAATAACGACACAAACTTGTCCATGATATTCCAATAAATTTATGAATAAACTAAATCTCAATGATTCTTAAACTTAAATTCTGTTCTGTGGATTGATCAGTAGCAAATTATAGGCAAGAAGTTTGTTTGCTAAGAGATGAGCTTGTTGATTTGTAGTACACTTTGTATTACTCTGTTGGTGTAAACCATGAAAGTCTATGAAAGTCGGATGCATGCCTAGATTGCAAGGCTTTAGTCATAAGTTTCCTAAAAATACTGCAAGCCCACGATAGGATAACCAAGTGATTGATGCTGAGGTTAGACAAAGAGTACTTGTTGGGGATGTTCGATCCCCAGAACTCGCTTCATAAATACCTTATTTTGGATTTCACGTTTGAGAGCATAGGCTGATCAGTTGACCTTGAGATTTCATTTCTCACCAGTAGAATCCTTGGCTGTGATTGGCTGCTGTGTATTCTGGTGTGCTAGTTTCGTAACTGTCCCAAGGACGTTTCTATGATGTATAAATAAACGAGAGTTGTGTGCTTGATTGTACTGTGATTGCCGGGTGTTTGTAGAATATATTTCTACGCTTACAAAGCCTTCTGTCTTCAGCTTGGGATTCAACGTAGCCTATCTGGACGCTGGTAATTGTCGCGTTCGCTTTATCGACTAAGGTGAACTCGTAATAGCTTCAAGAGTACCTAGTGACGAACATCTCAGTACTGGACAAACAAGCTAAATTTTTTCAACAGACTTTAAATCGACATAGAATCGAATGTCTGGGGCATGTGTTACATATACCCAACCACTAATTACCTCTAAATACGTGGTCAACACTTGAAAAGAACTGTTTTCTCTAACGACAGATCTTCATTAGATCTCTTATCAGATTTTCATAAACTTCTTCAGAATTACCCTCAGATTTCACCAATAGCATTTGTAGTCTAGCAAATTTACTTAATATGTCTAGAGTGAAAGAATCTAGCCCGCAAAAGTTATGAGGAGTATGTTTGTATACTCAGATTGAGTTTTAATTCTGAATCGCCACGTTACAACACATTCATTTTAACTGTCTTTTATACTATAATTAATAACATGCTTTCTGTTGTTTATAAATTTTTATTGCATTCAACCACTCAAGCGCTTGTTTTACGATTTGAGTACTCTGAAAGCACGTGGTTATTCCGATTTTCCAGCATCACTGAAATTTGCTTATGAAATGTTTCGTAATGTAAGTAAAATTGTTACGGCTTTTATTGATTAGAAATAATGTTCGCTTAACTATTTTTTTTTACATCGTTAAATGATTTTAACGTATGAAAACAGTTCGATCACTGAAGATAGCCGACAGGAAATCCTAGAAATAAGTTTCATGCTAGTTAATACTCGTCAACCTAGTGTACTCGCAATCTTCATGGAACTGGTGGTGTTAGTAAGTCTCGCACCTCTGTTATTGAGTTTTTGAGAGATTTTTACTGAACTGTTTGTCCTACGACTGATCAATTGTAGGAGTGAGATAGCTATGATCAACCGATTACTGACTAGTGACTAATATAATGTTCCTTACCCTTGTAGTGATGATCCTAGGCCAAGCAAGATTTCCTGACAACTACCTACAACCACATAACATCTCTATATAATGCAGTTAAACAAATTATTTATGATTTACATGACTGTTTACAGTTGGTAATCATCTGAGTAACCAAACTGTCATCAACAAAGTGAGTAAGACTGTCAGACAATTATAAACTGACTGTGGTGGTGTTTCGTTCTCTGAGCTCAGAGAACTGCGCAGTGCAATAATTGCACCGATTGATTATTTCACTTCAGAGAGATCGATTTCTTAAACGAGTATTTGGGAAGCATGATCTGTATGCGGTTAATCACCCTGTAAAAATAACGACACAAACTTGTCCATGATATTCCAATAAATTTATGAATAAACTAAATCTCAATGATTCTTAAACTTAAATTCTGTTCTGTGGATTGATCAGTAGCAAATTATAGGCAAGAAGTTTGTTTGCTAAGAGATGAGCTCAGAGAACGAAACACCACCACAATCATCCACATGAGCTACAAGTTTTCTCCACCATCTCAAAATTATAAACTGAAGAATACGAGGAGAAATACTTAGCATTCAAGCAGTAAAACATAGATATAGAAACTAAAACCAAGCATTATTACGAATGCTAGTTATTGAAAAAAAATCAAAATAATTCAGTAAGGGGAATTTTATTGCCTACCATTTCATTAATTAATCATATTTATACTTATTTAACATTATTACGTAGTAGTTTCTCGGAGAAATAAAATGTTATCATTTGTCAGTTTTCAATAAGTGATTTACATAACAATTTATAGAAGTTTTCTAGATGCTTAATTTAATGGCTATACAAGTTAGAAAATCAGAGACATCTGTACGAAGCTTTACTTGTTCAAACAGAATAATAATCTTCGCACATACGAGTAATCATACACTTGTTCTCACTGACCCAAATAATAATATGTAAGTTTCAGTCCTAATTATAAGCGTAGTCTGTATATGTGATTTCTCAGAAACTTCGAACCGCGACATACCGGAGATGACTGTGAACCGGTTAAGCTGTAAATATTCGATTAGTGTTAATAACGATAATTGGTGTCAAGCGGACCAGGATATAGAAACATAGTGGTTCACTTATTTAGTAACTTTACAATAAGCATATAAATAGTAAAAGTCCCTAATAGAGTTTCGAGAGTTACCATTTCTTCAGTCCTTTTTTTCATCATATCAGTTTAATAGCCGAAGGAAAGTGAAGGAAACTTAGAAGAGAAAATTTTAGTTGTGGTAATTTGTAGAATAATAATAGGTACGAAGACATTTTTCCCTTGCAATAAGAATCCCGGTTTAACAAGATAATAAACATACTCCATTTTAAAGACAAAGTTTAGGCTTGATTTTCCTCGATTCTGAAGCTTCTACAACGTACATTTCCTCCTAGACAATTCATTTATTTGGTAGAAATGTCATCAAACTTTGGTTATAGTGAGTTAAGATGACATAAAATGATAAACAACTTCAGAATCGAGCTATAAAATGACTAACATTTTCCTTTTGGCAGTCAAAAGGAAAATATTTCTCCGAGATACATCCCGTTTTACTCTTTTGGATTCCTTTTTATAAATCTGATGTTTGCCTCAGAGAATTGATCGCATTTATTGTCTTTTAATTATTCTATGTAAGACTGTTCATTCAATCTGTTTTTAGTTAACTGGAAGCGCACGAGGTGATCGCGGCAAAGAATTAAGAAATAGAATTCTTGTATTAATGACAGATAATGCATTTGTATTTGATGAATCTGTACTTTCACAGCTTAAACAACAAAAGTCCAATGTGAGTTAAACAATTAGTATTTGTTACGATTAATAAATTTTCAATCCATGTTGTTATACTCACATAACATGTTGAACTTTTAAAATTGTCTATCAACGTTAAACAACATGCCATTCAGTTAATCAGGTATGACTAGTGTAGAACTTGAAAATAAAATATGGCTTTATGCAAGCATGATGAGATCGAATTACCAAAATGATTAATAAGTAAGTTGAAACAACTTACTAGCAATGATGATAAATAAGGTCACACAATTAAGCATTTATAAGCAACAGATATAATTAATTGATTAGGTCATATAATTGTACTATTCTTACAATGTGATTACATAACAGAGGCGATTGGAAAAAAATCAGTATGTCACTTTGATCGATTTAGCTAATACTCACCATATTAGTTATTATATTAACTCCAGTATTAACACTTAGTTGATTTATAAGTCGAAAGTTCCGAACAATTAGATAGTACAAGTGAAAGCTGTGTAAACATCAGAGTAAGACAGTGTTTTTCTTTATAACTCAACTTTCATCTGAGCAATTTCATTCATCAGCTGTAAAATTTTATCTTTTTTAAATTAAAGACTCAAAAATTTGATCATTATCATACTCTGTATCAAACTTATTGCTTCCATGAAATATAATACCTCTACACATTCAAGTTAAGTTCGAAAATGTTCATTTCTAAGCATTTTAGTTTGAAGTTTTTGAACAAAGCATTTATTCGGTGCCCATCATCAATTTTCTGAACTGATATCGATATATGGAAAACAATATATACTAGTAAAATTTATTTTTATCGTAAAACGTCGTACAGATTATCTAATTAGAAGTTTCAATGGATGATAATGTTATATTATTTCAGAAGGACTGAAGTTATAAAAACCTAATAATTGAGTAGTCTATAGGTTAAGGTCTCACAATTCGTTCTGAAGGTTAAGGATTCGGTCCTAGACGGTGTGACTATCCCAAAGTTTAGTGTAAAATAATGATCTATAGAGTAAGTAAAGTTTGAAGAGCATAATTAACGCTGGATAAGTAATACACAATATAAGTAAATTATTAAATAACCAACAATAAATTACAATTCAAAGAAGAATGAAATGGTATTGGTCGTCAAACATTAAGCTCCGTTGGTTCTGTCGGTAAGAGAAAGTAACAATGTATTAAATCCCGCTATCTTCCAATCCAAACACACACAAACTTTCTACACAATCGCTCAAACACCAACGAAAACAAGGAAATCAAGGATTCTTTAGGAAGTTGTAATTGGTATATTATAGTTTCAAACATACGTCCATCTAACGTAGAAAAGAACATGTAGGCTAAGCTCTTAACTAAATATATAGTATAAATCTTACCTGCCATTTGACCTTGACAAATCCCAACCAAGGATAATGCACGCTTAACAAATTTTGAATTAAATCAGAACAAATAATACTATTTAATAATAACGATTATTTTCCAATTGATAAACTATCCATAAACCAGTTTGTTGAATTACTTAGTAGTACTATTTCAGCTGCAGATCCTTAGAAATCGCTTTGTAAACCTCTTAATTTTGTAATTTATCTTTAGAAATTTTTTGCTTTCGCGCCAAAAGCGCCACTTATTACCTTCAGTTGCGTTTCGCCAATATCAAGTCAAATTAAGATTTCTACTACTTCAGTTAGATTAACACATGACATTTGTTAATGACATAATTTGTCGACTTGTTTTATTTCTTAGATTACAACATTTATTTATTCACTTGGTGAACCGGTTGGAGCGGCTTATGAACATACAATGAAAGCATGTGCAACAAACGGTAAATTGATATTTCGCTTACTATTAAACCAATATATATGGTTTGGAAACTCCATTTTTAACTTTAAAACTGATATTTTGATAAACTGTCCATTTTGTCATTTATATGAATGATACAAGTGATAATTTAGATTGTTGTTTCATTATTAATGAGTATTTGTATATGAGAAGGTGAATTAGGGGCTTATGTCTCCTACTCTCTGTCCATAGAAATACTTTCATGAAGATCTTAAGTAGTTTTCTTTCGTCATCAAGAAGCATTTAAACCATTCACAATCATTCAATCAACTAATTAATTTTCTATTTTTATCTTGACTATGTTGGTTTCTTTGTTAACACAAAATTGTAGATATTTTTTATGTTTTGGCAGCATACTATATTGATAAATTTCCTTTAAAAATCCGTTGTTTTATCAATAGTTCGGATGTTAATTTATATCCCTTTAGATTATTATCAATATTTACCAACAGTCGGAGCAATCTCAAATTTAATGAAGGTAATTAACTTATTATTTAAACCTATATATGTTAATTACTTTATAAAATAATAACCAGTAATCTGTGCTCACCATAGATTGATCTCAGTTAGCGTACGATGAGAAACTAGGGAACATTAGACATATTGAAGGTTCACCCTTGTTAGATATTAAATCTAGGACATTTCGGAATTTCAGTCATTATACTTAATCATTAGAACCATTGAGTTGGCATCCGAAAAGTATAATTTCAACTTTAACCAGTTTGTAATGTAGTTTAACAATCATCCAATGTCATTGATGGCAACTGTTCACTTCAGACATGTTTGAACTCTATCAATTAAAATTTTACTTTAGAACTTCAGCAACATTTTGAAGTAAGTCATTAATGAGCTGACGATTAATAAATTAGTTAAGGGAGTTTCGTTAGAGATTGCTTTACTGTGAGGTATAAATGTTCTGGCTGCAACCATTAACAAGATAGTAGTTGCGTGTTGATGATGAGTCCCATGCTAGGGTTAAATAGAGCATGTAATTCATCTGTAAAGTGTATAACCTATGATTTGAACCGATTAGATAATTGTATGTTAAATGAGTAATTCACAATGGTTTAGGATTACCAAATTTTTTACATAGAATTCTAAAACCATAGTTATTTTGCAGAGAATATTTATTATTTTCTTGGATTAATGAAAGTTTTACTTGTACAATACTGTTTTTTTTTTGTTTCCTATAATTTCCAAGTTTATTACACTTTTGTATAAGTTGTCTTTTTTACATCAAATAGTAACTCCTATTTGATAACATGTATATTTATACACTTAGTAAGGTCAATAATGTTGTGCAATTTGACCCATTTAAGTTCATGTAGTTCAATTTTTTATAAATCATGTTAGCAAAATGCTGATCAGTGGCAGTAAAAAAAAATAAAAAATTAGGGAAAATCAAAAGCTAATTTATCTAGTACATGAACTTTTGATACTGACTATTTATTCACTTTTAAAATCACCTTAGAAATCTCCTATAACTAAACATAAACGGCTAAAGTTAAGTGTTTAAAAAAATTAACTATTAAGGTTAGTTTATGGACGGAAAGTAGTCATATTTATAGATTTATGTGTAGTCTTGATATTCTGGAAACTCTTGGAAATTTACTCAATTTAGTAAAATGAGATCAATAATTTTTTCAATCTGGATATAATTCATTATCCCACATTCTGTTTAAACTATTAGAGAAATTTCTGTCGAATGGTTTTTTACGCTACTGAAGATGTTTCCTGGAAATTTTCGAACAGTTCCAACAGAAACATTAGCAAATGAAATGGGAAAATAAAATATTACTGAATTTTAAATATTATTAGCTAGATAAAAATGTGTACTTTTGCACTTATGATACTAACCTTAACCAACTAGTTTGAAGTCTTTTACAATGAATTAGGATGAATTTGTTGATTTTTAGTTGGAACTTAATGTTTTTCTTTACGTCTCAGGTGTATTATACTGTCTACAGGCTTAATATTATTATTTTAGAAATGTAATCTAATTGTTTAAACCCATTCCCCATTTCAACGTCAGCATACTTGTTGGAGATTTCCTAAATCCAACCTTCAGACCACATGTATTCTTATTTACATAGAAAAATAAAAATATCATAAGACAATATCGTCTAAAACTAATCTTTATTTTAAAATCTAGAGAAATCATAATAGACGCTTTTTTATAAACTGTTCTCGAATTTTAATCCGATATTATTATCATTAGGTTTCATAAATGATTTGTTTTTTTAAGCATTTTAATTTGATTCAATAAATCAGTGTGACATCTTTTATATAGGTAGTGATAGAATCAATAACATAGTTGTCTGAAATATTCTAATCCAATAGCCAAATTACTTGTAATTTCTCGAAACCAAAAGGATGAGATTTATCTGATACATGAAACTATTTTGGAAAAAGTAACTTAAAAAACTAGAATCTACAAATCTTGAATGGTACGGTGTTTGAGGGTCATTTGGACTGTCAAAGATCTAGTCAGGAATACAGTACACAGGTGTAAACTGACACTGTGCACCATAATATGCAAGGCATGTGGCAATGTTTAACCGGTAATGCTGACTGACAAAAACAAATCATTTTCTGTTTTTAAATTAGATCAGCTGTTTAAAATAAACAAGGTTTAAGAAGTAACATACATAATCTAGACTAATTAGTAAACGTTGGAAGAAATATTTTTGTTACTATAGATAGGAAAACAAATAAAAATATTGAAATTATTAGTCCATAGGTTCACTGAAGCAACGAGTCATTAGTCCTGAAAAAATTGCTGAATACAACATAAGCTACTGAACATTGACAAACAGTATAATATTACCCGCGTAAAAACAAAAGTAAACATTGATGAAGAATGTAAAATAAAATGTGAGTAGATGTGCTGAATTTTCTTGTTCACAAAAAAATCTTTTGTTTTATTTAGGATTTTCATGAAAAATCAACTCAAATTCGTTTTGGACCAAATGGTAGTCCATTACCAACTGAAGTAATTCTACATGGTGCATCAGATGTATTACATACAAATCAGTATAAAGTAAGATTGCTACAATTCATCAGATGCATGATATTTACCCAGTCTTTCTTCACTTCTCTTCAATCCATCGACTTGTCGACTTTTATACATTTATAAAAAGACTGGCTTGATTTTGTCTTACGTATGCTTAGTAATCTGTAGATTAGGTTTAAGTGATTCATTTAATTTTATCAGCAATGGATTTTTTTAAAACTGATTTAATAACATCCATTTTAACCTCCAAAGCGTGATCTATATATTGATATATTTTATCTGTAAACTAGTATAATGATATTTGATATCGCGTTTTAGGAGATAAAGATACGTCTGTTTGATCGTGTATTATATCGCTTAATAACCAAAGAATTATCATGCTTAGCTGATATATTGTTCATGGAGTTTAAGGATAAAAAGTTGTCTGAAATTTTGGCGATTTTAACAGTGTCTAGAAGTTACACGAATTATAATAAACTGTTTGTACAAAATCACATTTAGACTGTTTAAAAAGCAAACCTTTTAGTGCATTGTAACATCCAACTGTAAAAATTTAATCCATTTTAAAAATAAATTTTTTATCAGTATTTGAAAAAAGGTAATAATTTTCTTTTCTTCTTTTTAGGGTACTGGTTTGATGGTCAGTATATCTATGCCTGTTTATAATCGAACTGTGAGTCAGTCAGATTTTCATGTTTTTCCATAATAACATTAATTATTTTCACTATACTGATGATGTTTACAAAAACATAGAGTATGAGATTTCAATTGAATGGTATGTGAAACAACAGTTAGAATTGTTCAGAGTCATGTATGATGTTCCAGATTAAGTTTTAGCTAATAAAGTGAGTACATTTTGCTGAGGAGTATAAAAACTGTTGTTCAAATACTTTCTTTTCATATTCATAATGTAAACTAACTTCACAATCAAAACATCATCATCATCTATATTACTGAAGGTGCATCAAGTATGAAAAGTAATTCTTATTATTTGATCAGCACTGTATAATATTCTAGAATCGATTATATTTTATTTAGCAAGCTAGACTGTTTAACTGCAAAGCTGTCATTTTTATTCTGGATGAAATTTCTAGCCCCTACTTCACATTTAAATGACATATTATTAATTGTAATTCTATGTCGTGACAGTCACGAGAGCGAATCAGATTGGGAAGGTACAAAAATTCAACATTGACTTATGAAATCATTGAACTAGGTGCTTTTATATTCTGTTTATTGTCAGCTTCCATTTGATCCATTAAGTGTGACTACATCTTTTATAATTCCGAAGTTATTGCTGATCAGTTATTTAGTGTTGACCAGTTGAAATTCACTAATTGGCCGATTTGTGTATGACTATGATTTTTCGCTAATGATTGCTTGATATAGTTATTTTACTGTTTCGTTGTTATTTATTATCGAATTTTGATTATGGTCTTTTCTTCGGACTCGAGAATGCAGACGGAATAAGCGACTGAGTATTGGTGGATCAAAAACAATTAAGTTCATGTTAGCTCAAGGCTAGCTGTGCCGTTTAAACTGCATTGTAGTTCAAGGCTTAGGATGCCAAATTATAGATGATGATTAATAAACTAAATACGTGATATCTATTCGCCACTCAGAAATTTCATTGATTGGTACAACAGTTGGAACTTCAGAAGCTGCACTTCAAAGGTTAACTTATGTACGGAGCATTCATAGGATCAGAGATGACTTTGAGATGCTGGAGGTTTGATTTAATATCAGCAGATTTGCTTATTGTTCAGTCATTGCTGCAAAGACATCATGTGTTGTTTTGTAGGTCTGTCTGGGACACTTTGAAGATGGATTTTCCAAAATGTTAATAAGTCACATTAACATATGAAGTTGAACAAATAGTGAGTCATATAGTCACATAACTGTCAGTGCCGTCAAAAGATGATTATTGTTTATCAGGAGATTTCTACAGCGGAAAAATATTGATTAATCTTCACATATCATTTAATGAAAACAATATTTGTTTATCGACACTATGTTTACAATTCTTTTGTTCTCCTTTTCTCTCAAAACAACATTCAATTTTAGAAAAAGTTACAATTTTTAGGCCTTATGGGTACAGAACTCCCAATTGATTTGATGATGTATGGATTACCGCAATCAAAAGTAACTTTTCTTATGTTTTGTTTTTACTTTGTATTCATACATAAATGTATATTGGTATTTGAAAATTTTTATTCATTAACTAATAATTACATCATTTGTACAGATTTATACGTATTGGATGACTGTTAGAGATAATTTCTATTTTAATCACTTAATTTGAGTTATTTTATCTGAAAGAATTCCAATTTTGATTGATTAACTTTATAACTGACTGATCTCTGAATAATAATGAATGTCTAGTTTATTGAATCCTTTCTTAGTGGTGATCAAATTCTGTTTACTGAGTTGCGATGCGGCCACTAGTTCAAACAACTTGACATTGGATGAAATATATTTCTTCGTTAGTGACAATCAAGAGGAGATTAGGTTTTGTCCTAGTTGGAGCTCATCAATAACGTATGCCTAAAGCACTGGAGGAACTGCTACTCTTCATTGGGATTCTAGTCCGCTTCAACCAGCTCCATAGTTTGACTCATCTGTCAGCTCTAAAGTCAGAATGATGAAAAATTCCAGTGAATTTGAAAAAAGCGAATAAATAACAACATATAGTTTTTTATATATGTGTTGCCTCTGCTTTATTTGCGATCCTATTGCTCTACACTTTATAATCGTGAACCACTATAGCTCTCCCGGGTGTATGTGAGAACAAAAGACTGGTGAAACAAAAATACATTGAGTCTTGAAAAAACACAATCCCAAAAATGTCATTACTCATCCTCATTTACAAATTTTCACATATATTTAATAATAAGACATACGGAAAATATAACGTCGAACTACTGAAAAAAAACACAATGAATGTTATTTACCTTATAAGTGACATTAGGGAATATAATTATTGTTAAACTTCGTGCACGCTCATTTCAGTTATACTGAACCGACTTCATACTAAATTGATACAAATAAATGGACCTGAAGTCATAACACTTGTCCAATATAGAGTGGATGTTTTAATCTCAGGTTTGAAATTTTCCAATATCCTTCATTTCATTTTCTTTCGTTCGTGTTAATTAGTGAGGTGGTGGCTATGTGGTTAACTTGTTCAATTGTTTTGCAGCCAGTGAATTATAGGCTCAAACTCCATTCCACTTATTTCGGTTAAAGTAACCAATTAGTGAGTGGTATTATCACTAAACTTTACACATATTTTTTATGAGTGATTCAAAGTCAAGTATACAAAGGTATACATTTGATGCCTAATTTACTGTCTATAGTTTAAGTGAATAATCAATGAAATTATTGTTTTCAGCTCTATCCAATTGGTTATGCATTCGTTGTAAATACTAATGGTTATTTAGTGTTTCATCCTAGTTTAATTCCTGAAGTAAGTTGTATTGATAAAACAATAATTTATGGTTATAAATTTAATTTGTTTGAATAATTAATATACAAGTGGATTTGTTTTCATTAGTTAAATGATAGTGGCTGAGATCGACAATTTATTAAACTAGATAGGTTTTTTATATTTCTAATATAAAATTGTTCACCACTAAACATTACATGAATTAAAACTTTGGTATTCTGTTATCTCATTCAATTAGGATAGACACATTCTATTTTAACTAGAATTATTATTGGCTTCTTTCACTAAAAAGTCTTGTTTATAATTCTTTACTTACCGTTTGACCTTGAGATGACACAAACACAGTCATATGCTGTTTTAGAAGTTAGATTAGTTGTTGTTTATATTTGAAATTCAAGCTTAACTACATAAGTGTTCATCCATATTGATTAAATGGAATTCTTCTACCCTATTCCTAATTATTTTAAGAATTAGCTTTACTTCCACAAGGTCATTTGGGAGTATTTCCAAAGGCCATCAGTAAAACATAACGTCACCGCAAATTTTTATTTACAAACGGAAATATTAAACTCTCTAAACTAAGGCTTCATTGAAATTCTTAATCATAAAATAGTCAGTAAAAAACTGAATGGAATTTTACTAGGACTATTGTGAACTGATCTAGGTTGGGAAACATGGAAACGCTTGACAGTCATTTCGTTCTAGCAGAGCACATTAATATCCCTGTCATTGGGGATTGAACCCAGGCCTTGAAGTTCCGTGCGCAAGCGAGCGCCTAGTCATTAGATCATTGAACTTCATTCAGTGCTTCCAGGTTTTCAACAGATGTCTAACTTGATTTATGTCGTTTGTTAGGATCGGTGCTTATCTGATGTAGTAATACAATCGTATCAAACAAAACCTTTATCGATTAGCTACCTAATTTAAACAAAATATACTACAAACATTGAACATTGTTACAAGGATCAAGAGGTATCAAGCGTGTTTAAGTAAGCTTTTTTCCAATAAAATTAATTCAGATCTATTTATTATATGTAGATAATCGTATACATAAAGAATTTGTTTGAAATGAATTTCACTAATTCTTATTTCTTTTTGTTTCTAATTTATGTAACTGATTTGGTATTTGTCTTTCCAAAAAAAATTATCTTTATTTTCATGCATTTCTAGTACACCTGGTTAGATGATAGTCAATATTTAGACTTTCTTGATGTTGAGTTAAATGTTTATGGATCAAAAACACTAGTAAGTTTAAGTGTTTCCAGTAGTCTCATTGATTTATAACAAAAAAATTAACTTAGAATATTAACATTTAAGGTTGTTGATGAATTCAGTGACAAGTACCAATCAGGATAAAAGCTTGATGTAAAGCTTCTTATTGATACTATGCTTGCAGTATTTAAGGTATAACTTTGCATCAGCAAACGGGATATATAAACGGAGACACAATAATAGGACAAGCTATGCCAGCCCTCTGTGCCCCAATCCAGTTAACTAAAGATAGAAGCCCAGAGTCGGCAGAAAGAATATGTAATCTATAAGCGGCCGGGGATGAACAGTAATCACTCGATTCATCAGCATTGTATGCAGTATGAAAACGCTCTCAAAAGATTCACAATAAAAAGTAATAACAGAGAAAACGAACCAAAGGTACTTTCAGGTGGAAAACACAAACTGAAAGTAAAACTGGGCATTTTCGGCGCGAAAATAAGAAATTCGATTGTTTGTAACTAACCATCTTTTGAGTTAAGATGTAAAGATTTTCTTTAATTGAAAGGGACATAACAGAAAGTTCTTTGTCGTTTCAACTATTCTAAACAACTCCATCTATCAATTAGAAGCTTTTTTTGTATATTCCCAGAGAAATCAAACAGATTTGTTACTCAAACCAAAGTTTAATGTTCATCAACTTCCACCTAACAACTAAGAGATAAGTTACTAATATGTTTGCTCGAAGTAATCCTGGCAGCTTATTCGCTGATCCTTTCAATCAAAATTCGCTTGATGGTTCTCCCATTCTGTTACTTGTCAAAAATTTGTTTATTTTGCGAATGACAAAATCATGGAACATTTTTCATCATTATGCATTTCAGATTAGAAAGAAGTTGATTGATAATGTAAGAGGTTCTGAAGAAATTATCGATTTTATTAAAGTATCAGATAATGTAAGTTAATTGTTACATTTTAAAATGCTTCCCATTTGTGATTTAAATCACCCACTGTTGTTAATAGTATCAATTTTCATCTAACGCCAAGATTATTTTCCTAGATTTATTATAGATTATAATAGATCATCATGGAAGTTTATTAAATAATCTATCCAACGAAATAACTCATTTAAGATTGACTAAAGTCAGCAAAAATCCAAAATTATATTGACCTGTAAGAGAACAGTTGCTTTATGATTAATTAACTTGTGAAATACAAAGATGAAAATTGTATAGTAAAAAACTAGTTACTCATAAGTAGTACAATAACAACAAACACATTTCACAACATGATTTTGTCTTACAATTGACAAAATTTATGTAAATAATCCAAACAAAAACAAGGCATAATCATAGCTTCCAAACTAATCACTTCTTTAAACTTAAAATAATAAGAATAAAATACCTAAAGATTGTAATCGGTGATAGTTTAAAAAGGGTTTTACTTGAACAGATTGAAACACTAGATACATGTTATTGTTTCTTTAAACATCTGTTCTTTTTTATAATTGAAATGGATTTGTTTTGTTTTCATTGATTTCACTTGTTAAGGTGCATACTTACGTTAAACCAAGGCTTTATTCGTTTACAAGATTACCTAATACAGATTTCGGGTAAGGTATGATACTTTTTCAGCTTTTTTTTTCATACAAGTTATCAATAAAATCTCGGCGATACCATATCATTATCGTTTCTCCAATTTTCTTACTTGTTATGAATAACAAATTTTTAAAAAAGACATGCTGAAAAATTTCCAAGTAGTATAAATCTACAAAAAAACTCCGCAGGTGAAAATTAGTCAGGATTATGTTTTTATGCACCTTGAATATGTTAAGTGGTGAAGTGTAGACTATTTCATTTCACAGTCTTCCCAGTTGAAAACCGAGAGCGAAATGATATTCCAAATGAAGTTGGCATTTATGAAGTTGGCTGATGCCCATCAAGCTATTTGGACAGGTAGAAAAATAAAACAGAACTTATTACATATGTGTACCTCCCTAAGCTGCCAAGCCACATTATCAAAGAGATGTGAAATTATAGAACAGTAACAATAGGACCTATTACATGGTAGTAGTAGTAGTAGTAGTAGTACGGTTGTGCAAACCAGTATATCTCTGGCCTCAATAGCTAGGTGAAGAACGCGTTTCTGTTTTTGGCCAAAAGTACAGGGCTCAAATCCATTGGTGGACATCAAATCTGGAATTCAGGCGAATCCAGCTGACGACTACCGAATAGTACGAAACTAGCCTCCTGAATACCACATTTCATCTATTCCATAGTAGACTTTATACTTTACCACATGATATATAACGAAATCTATGTAAATAGCATTTTATTTATTTGCAGATGAGCATTAGTTCTTACAAGACTCAAATACTTTTCAGTCATGAGGAAAGCGAATCGAAGCAGAATGTTATTGGCGCTCTTTTAATTCTAGGTTCAGATTGAGTGTCGAATCAAAAGAATCTTATCGATGTACAGTTCGACTCCGATCGTCTCACATCATCCAAGTGCTTTTAAAATATGTGGACTCAGAAAAAACGGTGATCTTAACCACTCTTTCTAATCGTGTCAATGTTTTTTGATAGACATTTTTTATTTATAAATTGGAACACATTTATTACTACTGTTATATTTATTTTTTAGAGTTGCATTTGTTACACCTACTGATCAACAGTTATTTCTGAATATTCCGAAATCTAGAAAATTCGAAATTAACATAGATGTTCCAGGGAAATATATGATTGATGATGGTACGTCGAAATATATGTATCTATGTGTGCATGGATTATCAGTAGGTGGTTGTGAGGATTGTTAATTTTTAATGAAGTCAAAAACCAATCTTTTTTAGACAATAATTAGATACCTCGAAGCATTAGATGACTATTTCTTACCAGAGTGGGAACCCTTAGTAGTGCGCATCCACGGGCTTGCAAATAGGAATCAGACGAACGCTTAATTTCTAGACTACTTTGCCAGAACTCAATGATCTATAAGTCTATCATCAGTCAATCAACAATACTAAATGACCATCTCCCATTGTCTTCAGTTGGTAAATTTTTCGCATCCAACACGGTTTAGCTTGTTCAAAATTGGATCTCAACTTAGTCATCCAATGTTCGCATGGAAGATCGAAGATCTTGGATCTGATTTCTGATTGCGGGGTCGTGGATGTGCATTACTGAGGATCGCTACATTAGAAAGAAACGATCGTCTAATGACTTCAAGCTTCCGGTAGTTGTCTAAGTTAGATCAATTTATGAATTGAATGATGTATGCATAAATACAATCTATTTTTCTATAGCCATTGTTGAGGATAAAAATTATTGAATTCCAGTTCTGTACTTAAAGAAAATAAAATCGTCTCTATAAGACTAGTTAGATTCCTGAGAATTTAGGCTCACTTTATGATACGGTTTCTCAATAATCTTCACAAGCTATCTTTAGTGAAAAATAACGATTACTTTGGTCGGTTTTCCATCTGTTTCTTCTTAAATTTCTATACATAAGAATTTAAAGTTGAATTAAAACTTGAAACAAACTCTTATGTTTACGTATTCTGGAAAAATACCTTATCATTTTACATCAGCGATTTAATTTTAGCATAGCATCGATTCTCGTCAATTTCTATATCGATATTGAATTTGATTTTTCATTCTAATGTTTGGATAAAAAGATTATATATATATATATATATATATATATATATATATATATATATATATATATATATATATATCAAATTGTTATATTAATTTACCATCGATGAGAAAGGGTAGTTTTACATTGGTTTTCCGGGTAACCAGACAGTATTCAGGTGTTGACACTGCAATCTGAACAGTACAGCTCAATCCTGTGGTGCAACCATACAGGTACCTGACACCGTGGTGAACCATTCACACCATTTATATACACCAATACATTTAGTGATCCATGATCGCGTCAGTCAATATGCACAGCATGAACTGGTCAATTTAACCAATCACGCTTACATGATTGTCAAATCCATTATTTTTAGCAAAGGTGATGTGTAATACAGCGTCCCAATAACAATGGTTCATGGGAATGTTGCAAGATAATCACCCGTATTATGAAATCGGTTGCCCTGAAATCTAAATTTGTTTGCGGACAGTGAGCGAAACTTGCCAAAGTAATGCCAAACCATCTACAGTATTCATAACGAAACTCTGGTTTCATAGTAGACCTTCAGATCTAAGAAGCAGTATAACTTATAGTATATACATCGTATGGCATGGGGTAGTAATAAATACAGAACAGCTCATGTCGGGACATGTTTTTATCACTAAAGCGAAATTCTTGTTTTCCCGACCAAATGAGGCATGAGTTAGGGGTAGTGTTCTTATAAAATGATTAAATAATAATTTTAAAAATAATTAATTTGCATTATAGGTTTGTGGAGACGGTCAAATTACTTTTTTAATTCTTGAATCGATCAATTTTAGACCACCATTAGAAACCTGGAAGCACTGGATGACCGTTTCTTAACTGATGGGGTTCAACCGTGTTCGGATATGAAGCAGTGCTAACTGAAAACAGTGGATGAGGTTGCGAAAAACGGTGGATTGATCGACATTAGATATTAACACCGTTAGACACCGGCTCAGTGGTCCAAAGGTTAGGTGTACGCGGGTTCGATTCCCGCAAGTGAGTGCTTTCTATGCGCACTGCTAGTGAGTTCTATTCCTGGACGAAACTGCTCCCAAGTTTATAATGGTGATCTAACATTGATCGATTCATGATTTCAAGAATAACTAATTATTTGGTCATTTTGATCTAAGCATTTCAGGACATAAATAATTGATACAGTGCTTCTTCAATTATTTTCATTCTTATCAATTAATTCATAACAAGTGCCTGATTTGTACCGTACTGATGGTAAAATTTGTCGAATTCTTGTTGATATGACTTGTATTCTTTTGTCTGAACATATCATACTTCAAAACTCTGAGATTAAAAAATGTATAATAAAATTCAGTGTTGTTCACTGAGCAATCGTTGCATTCTGGTTTAAGACTTTACAGAAATGCACTTTTGACATTGAAGATAAGCACTGACAGCTAACCTTAAAGGTTTAGTCTGCTGGCAAGATGATCAAGTTGGAAATAATGGCTCTGTGGTTTTTGCGTGGCTACTCAAAAAGCGTTGATAGATTATTTGTATCTAGTTAGAAGCTAAATGAAAAATATGTAAAATCCATCTCAATGTTTGATGACTAAGATACTCAATGGTGATAAACATAAAAAAATTACATAAATAGGAATAAACTTCAGCAGCTTTTCAAATGATTACAACATAATAAAAACAAAATGAATTAAAATGCATGAAACATTTGGACATGATAAATGAGGTTTTGAAAAAATAATTATATGTTCCCGAGATCAAAAATCGAAGAGTTATCTGCGTAACCGTTCATCAATCAGACTACAAAGCTTTCTTCTATATTTTAAAACCTAATCGTGAACTTTTCGAGGTTTTTAGTTACTGAATTACTTTTCACATTACTTTCATGCAGATCGACTAAAAACTGTCTTAACTTTCTCAGGATCATTTTCGAGAGTCATTGTGATCTTCTAGTAAATATTTTCACAAACTTATTTAATGTAATTTCATTTTTGCTAAATAATTTCATTAGTTTTTTTCTCATTTACAAGCACATACATCCACTCACTCAATTTTTTATTTCTCTGTTTATTTTTCAGTTCGTATTAAAAATCTAATTCAAAAAGCGAAAGTTATTTTACCATGGAAAGCACTAGATGTGTACATGAAAATAAATTATCGTGTATTTAATTTGGAAGCAGCTGATAAACATATGATACTTCATAAAGATGAAGATAAAACACTGCAGATGAATGCGGTACCAACTAGTGAGAAAGAGGAAGGAGTTGAAATAACAAACTTAGCAGAAACATTAATGGAAGACGAAGAAGCACAACAACAACAACAACAACAGTTCAATACATCAATAACACCCAATAATGAGTCTCTCTCGATCAAAAATAAAAAACTCCCATTAAAATCAGATGATAAATTATGTATCAACAATACAAATTGTTCAATAGATAAATTATCATTTTTAAGAAAACTTATCATTCGAAGTATCCGGCCATACAATCATGATAGTGATAAATTTGAAAATACTCAAGATATTAAGGCTTTTGTTATTGATGATGATGATTCTTCTTCAGAAACAACGGCGAAACCACAATCGAGTGACTCAATCACATCACTATTATCAACATCAGACAAATCAGTCAATGGTGTTGATGATATCGATATAGATAAAAATGAGTCATCAGTACCAATAGCGATAGAGAATACACAATCTGTGAATACTGAACCCATAATGAGTAAGGTAAATACATCAGAAGATTTGAAAAGTACTAATTGGACGAACAAAATTACAACTCCAGCATTATTAACAACTCCTGAAGACATAATTAGTAAAACTACATTAGATATGATAAAAGATGTAACAAGTGTAAACAGTGATGAAGTGGAATTGAATCAACTTATGATTGAACAAGCTGATGAAATCAGAAATTTCCTTGAAAAAGTACAGAATATTAATTCTAGTAAGTAGTTCTGTTATATTTTATGGAACCTCATGTTATACAGAGAGTACCTAATCTTTAATTTATTGAATTAGCATCCCATAGTTTTACATTTATAACTTAAGTTCAGTAGTGGTTCAAGTTAAGATGTTATTGTAGTTGATGTATAAAATCTCAACTAGATGAGTTCAAACATGTTGGGAATGAAATAGTTATCAAAGGCATTTGATGATAGTTCTGGAATACTACAACCCCGTGCCCAATAATTCTAATGGGTGAGTGTTCATCGCAAGACCTGAAAGTGATAAGTTTGATCCCTGGTATGATCTAAGGAGCTCCCTGATTCTGAATGATATCCTAAATGGGATCAACCTACATTTCAAACCAATCTTCATAGAACTCTTTCAGCTAAAATAATAATGATCGCAAATTTTTTCATCTCTGTTCGTTTGCTTGATTGTTCTTTGTTCCTGATTACTGATTCTTTGATTAATAAGATATTTAGGGATTCTATTTAAACTGAAGCTAGTTCTCGACCCATGATCTGACTACATTATGAACGAACAAACAAAGAATGAGCAATGAACATCACTTTTCCGTTGAAATTCATATATTCTATTCAGACTAACCTCGTTTGAGCAACAGAGTTTATAAGCAGTCAAATGCAAATTAAGTTAAGCCAATTTATTTCAGGCATTGTTTACCAAGGCAAACGTTAAGATGAAAGATGTAAAGCAGAGTAGTTTGATGCGCTAATTCAATGAGTCCATATGTGAATCTATCTTTAAAAGCATTAAAAATATGGACACATACGTATTAGCATACACACATGCATAAGGCATGACCGAATCACACATGAGTAGTTGTCAAGGTTAAACATAAGAATAACATCACAAATAGAGAGATCATAGTAATTTAATTATCCAAATACTGGAACAAATCACGTTTGTGATGATAGAGATGGAGAATGCAATACTGTCCTACTGAATAAACGGCGAAATAACCGAAATTGTAGGGGGAAGCATACTTAACGGTCGTTAAAGATCTAGTGAATAATCCTAGTCCTGTTTAGTGTTTCCAGTCAAACTGTTTAAATTATTCAAGTAGTGTATGTATATATGCTCTTAACAATTTAGTCAGTTAAATATTTATCTCAATCACATGATTCTTGCTCACTTCCATATACCATTTCTCAGATAAACAAAGTTAATTAACTCGAAATTTTTGTGACAAAATAATTATTTTTCAATTTTCTCTAGATCAATCAGAATTATTATTACAAATTCTACTGGAAATTATCATTGCTGAGAAAGATGTTGGTGAATCAGTTGAATTGATCAAATTAAATAGTCCTATACGTTCACGAACTGTAGCATTAAATACTGGTTTAGTATGGACAATACCAAGCAAGTTAGTGTACAATTAATAATGGATCATATCAGTTGTCATTGATATATATTCATATTGTGTCCAGTAAGATTACAGAAGTAGATTGTCATATTATTGACTAGTCAAAGATTACAGGTCGAATGTATAGGCGAATTTTTCAATAGGAAATAAATAAAATTAAAAATCATGCATACGCAACTATTATACGTGAAAGCCGCTGATGAGTGTTCATTGTTGGTCAAGGATTTAGCTTGACTTTCTGAGGAGACAGATCTACACTATTGGTTAGAACTCCAACTTAACAATATTGAGGGTGACATATATTTTATAAAAATTTTATGCAGATATTTTGATTTGAATTGGGTAATAAATGTTTCCACTCAGTCCTGGTTTATCATTCAAGTAGCTGGTTAAAACACCTACAGCCCTTCTAGGGTTGGTTACTGCCACTCCCAAACCCGGATAATGGAGGACGGTTTGGCGTGAGCTTGGCCACCCGATCTCATAGAAATCCAACTCGCTAAAAACCCGCTAACCAGAAAAATAATTCACTGACCATTGGCCTATGCTCCATTAAGGTTGATAGGCGTAAGTAGGTAAGTCAGTAAATAAGCAAGCCGATTGAGCTCATGTATAGGAAGTGTATATTATTAATATCGGATTCAGATCGTCTAACATGAAAGTTATCCGGTTTCAGAATCGAACTTTATTTGATAAAGAGGCTAATTTAGTCATTCCATTGAATGCTGTAATACTTTGAAAGATTTTTCTTCTGAAGACCTTCTTTAAGGTGTCTGAACACTACTTTTTACTGGTATCTTAAATAATATTGAGTGATGATGAGTATTTATTCTCCTAGTAATTATTAATATATAATACAGATATGAATAAAAAAGCATTTAAAACTTCATACAAATAAGTTACTTACAATATAGTTGATTACTGTCTAATTATGAATGCAAAGTTGAGTTTCTTGCTTTTTGTAGATATTTCTATATAATTTCTCTTATGGTTCTCTTTTCCCACCCATCATATAAATGTGCTCTTCGTTTTAATAGCACTCATGAACAATTCTATGATGAATTAAAGTACTGGCCAAATTCGCCTATATTTCAACGTCTATACGATTCACATAGCTTGATATTTTGGGTGCCATTAAGGAAAAATGAAGGTAAGACATATATATATAATAATTATTAAATTTGGTCTAGTTTATATCATCGATTGACCTTAGTTAATCGACAAACAAAGAATTACTCTATGTGTGTTCCGTTCTGTTATAAAACTCTTCAGTAGTTCATCTGAACAAACTCACTGAAAAGTTGATTAAGCAATATTGTGAAGTAATTGAAGTTCCACATGTAAACTACTGGATACTAGTTCATTAGCCTAAAGTTTGAGCGTTCGCTGTGAGACCTAGGTTCGATCCCCCGGTGAGATCTTTAGTGCACATTGTTGAATCCTATACATCGCATTTATACATTTCGGATGATAAGATATAATCTGGTTGTCTAAAAGTAAGCTGATCGTTTTTTGGGGTATCACCTACCTAGAATTCAAACAGAATTTTGATTCACAGAGTAGTCGATCAATATCTACACATTTCATATAGTAGTATCACGTGACAAAAATCATTCTATAAGTTATTTGTAGCCTCACGATCCTAAAGTTTGTATGGAATCAGTGTACCTTAACTCCTCCGGATAGACTTACTGCATTAGTCAAACGAGCTTACGAGAAATATGTACATGTTCATAAAAATACCGTTGCTATGCAAAGGTGATGTGGAGAGTTTCCCAAAGAGAAACTATAAACATGTCATAGGAGAGGAATTTGAGAAAAATTGAGAGACAGAGCAAATCTTTACTGCTGTTGTATGTCAAGTGATTATTACATGTTTATTACGTTTTCAATATTTAGAATAATATTTCTCCAACGACGTTTTATATGAGTGTATTGTTATTATTATTGTGTTTACAATAAACGATTTATGTCAAGGACAACTGCAAAAAAACAGAGATCTCTGTCGATCTAAGTTGACTATATTTTATCAGTGCGTAACTGTGCAAGATTATGAATCTGTGAACTTAAGTGGTTCTTTAGCCTTTATCATCTCACATCTGAAATCTCATATTTATAAAAAATACTAACAGTGATGGCTGCTAGAGTTCACTGATATATAGGGTATTGAAGTGGTAGACATCAACAAGCTGATTAACTGATTATCGCATTATATCGTGCACGAATTTACAACTTCAGCCGAGTTCTACGTCGCAACTTGGTTGAAGTTGGATATTCGAATCACTTCAACTTAGCTAAAACTTTGACTGAGCAGTTACGTGAAAACCAGAAGATTATAGATTCAGTCCAAAGGGCAATTACTGATGGGTACTGCCGGTGATTCCTACACTGTGATGGAACACATATCTAGTGTTCCCTGGTTTATACTGGTGCTTAATCTGACCCAAATCCTTAACAAAAGTTCTCCAGAAATACTGATATTGATTTGTTCCTTTGAAAACCGTTCGTCTTTTTGTAGATTCTTCAAAACCGATCGATGAATCAATCTCTTCACAAGAAAATAGTGAGTCCTTATTACAAAGTACCACTAAACAAACGAATGACAACAATACCATTAGTATTATTGAGGAAACCAATGAAACAACGACAACAAAACCGATACTGAATAATACCAAAGAAGAGCAACAAATACATCAAATTGATGGTAGTAAAATTAATCACAACAAGGATCCTGAACATGCATATGTTGAAATTGATGAATATTTTGACGAACTGATACAACCACTTAATGAAGAGGAAACAGATGAAAATGTGAAATCATTTAATCAAACTATCATTAATAGTCACGATAATACTGCGTTACCAGTAACTATATTTACACCGATAACAATTACAGAGGGACAAAATGTTTATAAAGCTGGAGGTAAGATTAATATAAAGTCTATTTAATAAATACGTGATATTATGGGGTCATTTGTAGTACCATTCTTTAAAATTCTTAGGTGTTATCCTCTTTGGTAAAATTATTATTCATTTTCACCAGCAAAAATGTTTTGTTTCAGTTATTTGGTTTGGAGATTATTGAGGATATATTTTGTAAACAGTTGGATAGAATGAGACACAAAAAATTTGATATTTTCATTAACACAGTAATTTATTGGTCTTCGTATCCGAACATTATCAACAAGGTCTTCATAACCTATATTGTAACTCTGTATTCACTTCGAACGGAAGACTTTTCATCGGTTATCTTCATCAACAACACATCAACATTTTGTTAATTACTCGATAATGCTTTTTCTACGACTTCAGCGGAAACCTGAACTTAGGTCACTTATTCACTGGAAAAATATTAAGGATTATTGAAGCCATGAAGTGATCAGTGTTAGAAAACTATTGAAAATCTGGAAGCACTAGTCGGTCGTTTCGTCGTAGTATGGGATTTCTCAGCAGTGCGCTTCCGTGACAACGCAAGTTGAAGTGGGACCCAGGATATTTGGTCTCGTAAACGAGGAGTCTCCTGATAGTGCGAGCAGGTTATTCATTGGTAGTTCAACACTGATAAGTTCATTATTTCAATGAAAATCAGCAATCTTCACAACCCATACTGGTTTGTATTAAGAATGCTAAATAAGGGATCGGATCGTAAAGAAATACAATTGCTCTTAGCAACTTATGTCTTACCGAGTTACGTAGAAATGTTAGACGAAAATAATGGAGAATTCATCACTTAAAAAAGCCTTATATAGTTGTATGACTGACCATAAGATAACTAGCCAAGTAACTCTAGACCTTAAAAAATGCTTATCCAATGTTTTTTGGATTGAAGTAGCTGTATTTAAAATGAAATTTTTTTCAGAGTGACTACATAGTAAAATGCAACGAATAATTCTCAACAATCGTTTGTTTTCAAATTTCTGATATATTGACCACATTAAGCTTCTTGGGATAGTGGAGAAAATTTGTAGCTCAGGGGGATGATTGTAGCGGAGTTGCGTTATATGGGCTCAGAAAACGGAACTCCATTACATAAAGCTTCGAACAAATTGATAGCTATTCTGACTTGGTAACCAGAATTATGGTGTGTTGGTTTTCAAAACAAATATATTTCAGCAGTAACACCAATCATGTATCATAAGTTTGTCCAATCAGTATATCCTAAGATGAGGTAAAATACACTCTCTGAAATCCTACTTTTGACCACTAAACCAGCACAAAACAAGAAAAGCGTTTTTTTAAAGAACTCAAGGGTTATTTGACAATTCTTAGTCATAAATTCTGACTAGCCGATTTCAATCTTGTCATGAGTGACTCAACTAACTACGGAAAACCAAGATGACTGAGGACGATGGGAAGCTTTATCGCCCGAAAGCAGAATGGAAATGAATACTGTTTATGAGTACAGCTGGATATGACTTCAGTGACCCAAGGAATGATTTTCACGAGATATACAATATACTTGCTTTAACAGGATCCTTAGTACTTGAATGTCTCACCAGTAAGGTTAACTGATGATCGTAAATTGGCAAAGCGACTTTAATGTCATAGTACTTAAAGGAAACCGAGATACAAGCTGTCAAATGTATGATAGTTAATTTTAGTAAAGAAAAAATCCTCAAATATAAGCTGATTTACTGAGAAAGTACTCATCAGTGAGAATATGGGAATGAACTGATGTTCCTTTGCGAGTTTGGTTGGTGCTTTTGATTAGAAAAAAGTTTAGAGTTAACATTAATCTACATGAACAACGTTGAATTCACGACAAGTGAAATTTGTACTCATTTTGAAAGGTTCACTTCTGATGTAAAGAGATAATGTATTTTATGTAGATTCTTTGACTTTAAATCGTAAGTTATTCATTTGTATCCACTGTTTTCTTATTGACTGAAGTTGGCTAATACTTTCTTGAAGTTATTTTCAGTCTCTTAAGTTCGCTTCGTTTACGTTCACTAGCTTACTTACCTTGTAGCCTTATGAGAAAATATTTGTTTGACTTTTTGCAATAACATATGCAGTATCATGAGCTTTCGTTAAGCGTCGGATTATTATTGAGGCCATTATTTTAGAAACTATATTAGTTAGGCTGATTACCCTGTGATTGTCACAAGGAGACTTTTGTCCTTTCTTATAAATTGGGACAGTCAGCGATTGAGACCAGCCACATGGGATTACGTCCAGTTCCCAGATTCTACCTAAGATCTCAGTCAATCTAGCTGCTAAAGCTGGACTATCATCCTTAAAAATCCCAAGGGTAAGCCTATCACGCCCTGCTGCTCTCCCTCACTTTAGATTTCCTATAGCTTTCTCAACTTCATAAAGACTGGGAGAACTTATATTGATTTCCCATTCAAGTTGACTGGAGATCGTGGGTAATGGGAGTGTGGCTGAAGGCCAGTTGAATTGATCCATGGAGTGTTCTGCCCGTCGATCCAGTCTCCTGGGTTGATAATGAATATTACAGCCATCCTTTTCTGAGATATTTTCGCTAACAGATGGATTTCTAACACCGGTTTCCTTAATAAGGCGGAAAAGTTTTCTACTATTGTCAGTTACCTCTTCCTTTTCCGTCGCTCTTGCTTTCGCTACCCACCACTGTTCAAGATCATTGCGTAGGCTTTCTATCAGCCTGTACCTAAGCTAACTTCACGCTTCATAATGTTCAGAGCCAGGTGGGATGTGTTTACGAGCATCTATCAGTTCGGTGGATGCTACTGAGATCCACGGCTTCTTTCTAGCCTTATGGTTTACCTTGCTAGTAGATATCACTGCTGTTGCCACAGCCTTTCTGGTATCATTCCAAGCTGCATAACTTACTACATGGCTGCCTACCTGTTTTTCTAATGATAGCTCTGCTATCATTACGTAGAACCCTAAGAAGTTTTCTTGTGATGTCTTTTCTACGTCCGGTAAGTCGCAAACAGTTACGTGCTCGCACTGGAGCATGATCTGAATCTAAACAAGTGCTCTAGAATGAGTGGCAGTCTTCAGTAGAGCCTCTCCACATGCTCAGATGTTCCACATGAACCATTTTGAACTAAACCAGCTGTTGTACTGTTGGCGTGACCTAATAATCGGAAGTTTTTAATGTTTCAGAAGTTCATTGATTTTCATTGTTGTGAAGTTTATTTATTGTTCACTTAATTTTCATACGTTTCTAAATGATATCAAATCTTAATTTCTTTGAATTATCTATAATTTCCCAACTATGAAGTATTAACTTTAATTAGAATTAATTATATCTCATTTCTTATTTTTGATTTTCTACGTTATTTGAAAAAAATTTCTTGAAATAATATACAACAATTTATCATAGTAATGGGTATAACATTGGAACCAGATTATTTATCTGAACAGTTAAATATTACTCCAGAATGTTCCACAACACAATCGAACAAATTATGTTATTTATTAGAAGATGCAGCTAATATAATTGCTGTAAATAACAAATCATTATATTATCAGGTAAATTTTCAATATATATATATATATATATATATATATATATATATATATATATATATATATATATATATATAATGTTTATTGTATTGTATGATATCTCATTCTTATACTGATAACCATAATCTTTCTTTACTGTGTGCTCAACCAAGTGGAAAGACTGAGCATTAGAAGGAGAGTTTATTGTCTAAATGATTACCTCTTCGAAGTCTTAGTCACATGTTCAACCACTGACATGTGTATTGTTCCTTAGAAAACAAAATCTAATCTTTCTTTTCATCTTTCCATTACCTTCTGATTGATATCTGATTAGTCCACTGTATCAGTTCAAATGTCATTTGTGTAATTTCAGTTAAAATTGAAAAAAATCATTTGTTTTACATGGTGCTGTTCAGTCCTTGTATAAAGCTATTCATTTCCGTTTATACTTATGATCTATTCAATAAGTGAATGTATTGCACAATACGTATTGTACATGATGATGAGTAGTCGGAAATCATCGATAGGAAATCTAGAAACAAAGGTTTTGTGTTTATTGTGACTTGTCAGCAAAGTGTAATTGTAGACTGGTGCAGCCAGTGGGATTTGAACCTGGAATGTTCAGTTACTTAAATTAGAAATCCCATCACAACTTTATCGACGAAATTCTGTCAACATTATAGGACCAGTTAAACATGATCGATCAATATATATTCCGTGATGTATGATGTCATACTGATTGTTATTGTGAGCTCTTAGATATATATAACTTTGTATTGTAAATTTGACAGTAATTTGAAATTAATGTCTGCTTTGTGATTAATCTGCTATTTTAATCTTTAGTCCAATCTAGAAACAGTTATCTGTTGTCTAAATAGTTCAATAACAATGTCTCTGTTTGTTGGCCCTAATGAAATCAAATTTGAATCTGTCAGGTTTTCATGACTTTTCAAAGTTTTGGACAAACCTTACAGTGTGTATTGAATGACTGCAAAAACTCCAGCCTGTGTATGAGGTATTTTTTAGGCTTGAAAGTCACGGACTGGACCAATAGTGGGGTCGTGAGTGCTTAGTGTAGAAGATTCCCATATTAGGAAGAAATAACCGTTCAGTGTCTCCTGCTTTCCGAGTCAGGATTGGTTTAAGATGTGAAATTTTAAATGTTTCTGTCTACGTGTATGCAAATTTCAAATAAATAACACTTTCCTTTTAATTAATTTAGTTGGTAATGTAGTTCATTTCAAAACGATCAGATTAATGGAGCTTGTAATGTGTATAATGCAACAAACTTTGCAAATAATTATCTCCTCCTTTAGTCAGTTGGTTTGAAAAATACTACAAAAATTAAAACCCGCATTTGTAGACTGCTTGTTATGCCTTCAAATTACTGATTGATATCGCATGTTTAAGTAACCAGTCTTACTTCTAATTACAAACTTTTCCATTTCGCATCTACTATTTCTTATACGAGTAACTTGCACCGTTGACCTTCAGTCGGCATAAGTTCCTCTTGATCCCTTACACTCATATCATTCTATAAACCTTGCCTTGAGTGTAAGGAGATGTCAGCAATCACCTTCTGTTACTTACTTACTTACTTACTTACTTACGCCTGTTACCCCCAATGGAGCATAGGCCGCCCACCAGTTTTCTCCAACCAACTCTGTCCTGGGCTTCCTTCTCCAGTTCTGTCCAATGTTTGTTCATTCCTCTCATATCTTTCTCTATTTCTCGGTGTAATGTATTCTTTGGCCTTCCTCTTTTCCTTTCGCCTTGAGGGTTCCATGTGAGGGCTTGTCTCGTGACGCAGTTCAGTGCTTTTCGTAGTCTGTGTCCTACCCACTTCCACCGCTTCCTCCTGATTTCCTCCTCCACTGGAATCTGGTTTGTTCTCTCCCACAGTTCGTTGTTACTGATGGTGTCCGGCCAACGAATACGAAGTATTTTGTGTAGACAACTGTTAATAAACACTTGTATCTTCTGGATGATGCTTTTCGTAGTTCTCCATGTTTCCGCTCCATACAGTAGAACTGTCTTGACATTTGTATTGAAAATCCTGATTTTGGTTTTGGTTAAAAGTTGTTTGGAGTTCCAGATATTTTTCAACTGTAGAAATGTAGCCCTTGCTTTGCCAATCCGTGCCCTCACATCTGCATCGGATCCACCTTGGTTGTCGATGATGCTGCCCAGATATGTAAAGGTGTTAACGTCCTCCAAGGCATCTCCATCAAGAATGATTTGGTTGCTGCATGTTGTGTTGCATCGGAGAATTTCGCTTTTTCCTTTATGTATGTTGAGACCTACTGCTGTAGAGGCTGCTGCTACACTGGTCGTCTTCTCTTGCATTTGTTGTCGCGTGTGCGATAGAAGAGCCAGATCATCTGCAAAGTCCAGATCGTCCAGCTGCGTCCTAACTGTCCAGTTGACACCGTGCCTCCCTTAAGATGTCGACGTCTTCATAATCCAGTCGATGACCAGGAGAAAGAGAAAGGGTGAGAGTAAGCAACCTTGCCTGACACCGGTCTTCACCTCGAAACAGTCTGTTAGCTGTCCTTCGTGTACGATTTTGCAGTTGAATCCATCATAAGAATTCCGTATGATGCTAACTAATTTCTCAGGCACACCGTAGTGTCGAAGAAGCCTCCACAGTGTTTTCCTATCCACGATATCGAATGCTTTCTCGTAGTCGATGAAGTTGACGTAGAGTGGTGAGTTCCATTCAATTGATTGTTCCACAATGATCCGTAATGTTGCAATTTGGTAAGTACACGATCGATCCTTACGAAATCCGGTCTGTTGATCTCGAAGTTGGGCGTCTACGAAGTCCTTCATTCTGTTTAACAAAACCCTGTTGAAGACTTTGCCTGGTATTGAAAGAAGAGTGATGCCTCTGTAGTTCTCACACTTGCTGAGATCGCCTTTCTTTGGTATTTTGATCAGGTACCCTTCTTTCCAAATTTTCTTGAAGAGGATGTGAAATATTTTCGCAGTTGCTTCCACATCTGCTTTCATTGTCTCTGCTGGGATGTTGTCTGGTCCTGCTGCTTTGCCGCTCTTGATTTGTCCGATGGCCATACTGATCTCCTCAATTGTAGGTGCGCCAATATTAATTGGGAGGTCCGTGGATGCTGCGTCGATGTTGGGTGGGTTCAGTGGAGCTGGTCGATCTAGGAGTTCCTGAAAATGCTCTATCCACCTATTTCGCTGTTGTTCAGTGTTGCTGATTACTTTGCCTTCCTTGCTTTTCACTGGTCGTTCTGGTTTACGTTAGTTTCCGGCGAGCTTCTTTGTTGTTTCGTACAATTGTCTCAAGTTCCCTTCTCTTGCAGCCTTTTCCGCCGTCATTGCTAGATATTCCTCATATTTTCGTTTGTCAGCTCTGATGCTCTTCTTCACTTTCCTGTTTGCTTCTGTGTATGCAGCTTGTGCGGTAACTTTCTATGCTCTTGTTCGGCTGACATTGATTGCTGCCTTCTTGTTCCTCCTTTCTTCAATTTTTGCAAGAGTATCAACAGAGATCCAATCCTTGTGATGGTTCTTCTTGTGACCCAGAACCTCGTGACATGTTGAAGTGATTGCCTCCTTACTCCCTTTCCAATTGTTCTCCAATGTTGCGTCCTCTCCACTGAGTAGATCCTGAAAGGCTAATATTAGTTAGAGAATAGGAGCAAACCAAGAAGTAATGTACAGTTGTTTCATTCAAATGTATCGTCTTTTCCTACAGCTTATTGATAACCAACAATTATTCTTATTAGCTTAATATTTCAACTAATTTAATGTTTAAGATGAATAAAATATAAACGATTTGATTTTCGTTATTTTACATAGATAGGTCAATTTTTGGGATATATCGATCCAGATCTAATGAACTCTTTAGTTCAAAGTCATGTTTATGGAGTGTAAGTGGTTTTCATAGATGTTTCTATATTTTAACACATTTTACCATGTCATAAATATATGGATTGTTGAATTTTCAAACGAAATAATCCAAACAAATTCAATTCTTATAAAGAATATGATATCTTTCTGTGTTAACCGAAATTAAGAACTGATGATGATGTTAGTTAGTTAGAGGCAACCAACAGGAAACCATGGACGTAGGTTATGTACCAGTTAAAGTAATCTAAACAGAACTGATTATCTCCTTCGGATTCAAGCTTCCATCATCACTGACTCATTCGGTCTGCGGTCTGGTAATTTCCAAATCATGGTGTTATTATAAATGACGGCATCAACATTGAATGTTGATTGACCATAAATTATAAACTATCCACCGATCAGTTATACAGAGAGAAGATACTAAAAAACAAAAATTGTCCTTAAAAATAGATCAAAGTAGATCAAAGATCGGTTTACAGTTGTAGCAAGTGAAAATATCAGAGATAAACAACAAGAAATTAAGTGTTAATATTTCAGATTAAACAAACAAAGAGAGAAGCGCACAAAAATAAAAGACCTTTTTATTACATGATGATGTACACACCTACAAATTTTAAAAGTTGGTTATTTCATACTTCACTACGTCTGATGATTTTTGTGTAATAATGGGAAATAAATATCTATCTAGTTTGTTCAATCAAACAGATTGATGCAATTTAAGCATGAGTCATGAAAATTGACATCATTGTCTCAACTGATCTCAACTGGTATAGCTTCGAAACAGACTATTGAAATGATTAGAAAAGTTATTGGTAAACAATGTTTAACTACATTTTTTAAAGAAATACCTAGTTATTGATTATTTTCCTACAAAATGTTTTGTATCCGATAGCCCATGAACAATGCATATTTGATAAATGGTTAGCACTGAAATTCAGGACACATATTTTTTCGCGTTTAAAATTTACTCAAATTGAATGCACTGAGATTTTAGTGTGATGTTCGGATTGAGAAGCTCGAACCCAGTATTGATTGTTGCAATTCTCAAGTATAAATAAAAGACGATTATAAACTTTTTTGAGTTATTTCATATTCAAACGAAGTCGTGAATGAATCATGATTAGACCAGCATTAGAAAACTAGAAGTACCAGGCAGCAGTCTCTTCCTGGTATGGAACTAACCAGCAGTGCGCATCCACGACTCCTGCTTCTCACTGGAATCGAACCCAAGACCTTCGATGTTGTGCGCGAACTCTTAGATTCTTGACCACTGAGCTAGCATCCAACAGTGTTAATGTCTAACTCTGATCAATCTACGGATTTTGTGATACCTCAAGCATTTTCTTCAGTAGTTACTGCCAACACCCTCCAGGATTGAACTCCAGTGGGCACGTCTTCTTACTAGAACGCCGAAAATTCCCTCACGAAGATAGTCACTAGTGAGCACTTTTTTTCGGTTTTCCCACTATAGTTTTATGGAGATGGTTGTTTTACATTGCATTCATGAATTCACTTACCAGCAAAATAAGTTTCTGTAAAACAAAAGATATCTTCACGTAGATCAAGTAACATGTTTATCTATATCTTTTTATCGTCAGTCGACAGCTTTCAGTCGCTTATTACCAAAATACTCTAATTTAATTTGATTTTAATTTTTTTTGACTAAAATCATCAATGTATTACTCAAACAAAAATGATCACCTTTTTGAAATTGATGTTTTTTAGATAACATTTTACATCCACCTTTTGAGAACAGTTAGCATTTGTTAACGCTTAGCTTAATGGTAATGGAATTTCTCCCCTTTTTGAATTTCTTTGTTCATTCAATATTTAATTTAGTCTGAAGGATTATGATTTCAAGGGAACATGTTATCCAAGAGAAGATAAACTTGAAACTACTTCACCTGGAATACATCCGATACCGGTACAGTGTTCTGTTTTCGTTTTAACTAAAAAACTATTTTTTGTTATACGATATTTTAAATCAAAATTGTAATTTTCATTGAATGCTAAGTTAACGAGTGTTTAAGGTAACTGCTGACCAGGTTGGTTGAAACATGATAAAAGAAGATAGAATGTAGTCTCTTCTTCAAATTCAAGATCAGAATTGAATGGAATACCTATCGGCAGACCAATAGGAGTATAGGTTAATTACGGCCTCCAGATTATATCATTGGTCAAGGTCAAGGACGCCCGGCTATAGATGGAGTAGTTTATGCAGGGTAGAGATATTAAAGTGTAAGAGGATTTGTGGCGATTACTGAATTATCGTAGTATGAATCACGAATCGATCTTAGCTAGACCCTCATTGGAAACCTGAAAGCACCGGATGAATTTTTAACCTCGTCCACGACCTTACATTCGCGAACTATATTCTGGACCTCCCGTTTCTCATGTAAATGCCTAGCTTTTAGGCCATTAGGCTGAAATCCAGTGGTGCACACATGTGCCTTCTATCTAATTCTGATTATATAAAGATTATCATAGAAACTCAGACTGGTAAATCTACCAATAATACCTATGAAATCGCTCAAACATGGAGGTTGACATAGTAAATACTTTTAAGATTATTACCATCAATCTATGTTATTCTGCATTTCTTCTTTTTTTTTTTTCTGAAATAGTCTATCCTTATGTATACACAAAGTATGTTTAATGTGCGTATATGGTTTGATTGGTTATTGACAATTGGTTCAGTAAGTGCACTTATTACTAAGTAAGTATGATCATTTTTCAACTGTAAAATATGTACACTATATAATTATTAAAAAATATGAACTTTAAGTAATGTCAATGTGTTTGCCAGTAATCGAACAATGTCGATCAAATGATAATACTTAGCTATTTACAAGTTTAATCGACTTAACACAGAAGTATAATGTGTGTGATATGGTTATATCTAGAGGTAGGTTGTACCAAATCATAACAGATAATACTCATATCCAGTCGTATAATCAAGCTATCAGAAATTGTAGCACGATTACTGAGGCCATTTAGAATAGGTATAGCACATAAACGAACAGAATCACTTCAGTCAGTCCTATGTAAACCAAAGGATAAAATGACAAAAGAAAAAAGACCAAATATCATTTACAAAATAAACTGTTCAAACTGCAAAAAGCATTACATCGACCAAAGTGGACATCCTCTTCATCTTAGTCTACGTGAATATCAGTCAGCAGTCAAACGTCATCACATCTCTTCCCTCACATACGGACAATCGTGAACATTCGACTGGAAAAATGTTGAAATAGTATATAGATGGAGTGCAAAGAACACTAGAGAATTTCTAGGCACTCAGGTCAATCAGCAATCAACAAACACATCGACATTGATCCAATCTATCAACCAATCAGAAAAATCATAAACAAACATAAGATTAAGAACGAAATCAAAGTGGGATGCAAACAACGACAGGTTTAAGGACAATAATAACCAATCAAAAGTGAGGTCAAAAGGACTAGCTACTAGTCATACGTGGAGAAATTTAAATAATTCACTTTTCTAATGGTTTCTAATGGTGGTCTAACAATGATTGATTGGTGATTTCAATGTTCAGTCCACCTTTGCCTGAATTTTGTGCTGATGATATTGTTCAGAAGAATAATAAAAGGTCCACAACCAAAAGATCCAGATCAGAGAACGAGAAACTGCATCAAAATCATTCACTTGAGCTACAAATTTTCTCCTCTATCTCAGATGTCAACAACTAAAGCCAAAGTGATACGATTATAAAGTAGGTTAAAGTTATTCACAATATAAAATAGTTATTTAAGGTTTCTATTAGCCTTCTTTCTTTAAACAATTACAGCCTTAGATTTTCAGGTTATCTCACAAGTTCATCGGATCTTGTGGATTCCTTAGAATCATATAACATTAAATATATGTGGAAATTTATGTTTTAATTCTTTAGAAATTTGATTTATCTTATTAATATTTATTTCAAAGTCTCTATAACGTTCATTGCTCAACACATCAATTAGTTAGTCAGTTATGTGGATCAAAGAACCTGGTACATTGGTATATCAGTTCAAGTTGCTACGTCATGACATCACAGAGCGATGAAATTATCATGCTAATTATTGAAGAAGAAAAATTAATTGCAGTATACTAGTAAAAAAATTAGTTGTAAACAGTATGTATTCAAAAAGAAAGAATGAGTTTAGCAGGTAAAACCGTTGGCATGCATTTATAGACATAACACAGTCCAACAGTGAATGATTTTATGAACTGATTTCAGGTTTTACTTTAACAACTCTTCAGCTATTTCCAACCTTCTCCTAGACCAGTAGACATCATGAGTCGATTCAGATGGCACTTTTACTTACGCCTATTACCCCCAATGGAGCATAGGCCGCCCACCAGTTTTCTCCAACCAACTCTGTCCTAGGTTTCCATTTCCAGTTCTTTCCAATATTTGTTCATTCTCAAGTCTTTCTCTATTTCTCGGTGTAATGTATTCTTTGGCCTTCCTCTTTTCCTTTCGCCTTGAGGGTTCCATGTGAGGGCTTGTCTCGTGACGCAGTTAGGTGCTTCTCGCAGTGTGTTTGTCCTATCCACTTCCAGGGCTTCGTCCGGATTTCCTCCTCCCCTGGAATCTGGTTTGATATAGGCAGTAATTCGATACAAATGCAGACAATCTTCAATCACCTTGGTAGAGATGAAGATCCACAACCTTATAAATTAATTTACTTAATTTACATTGCGTTATATCTATTGTTTTCTTTTTTTGTTTATTCATAAGACTAATCTCTAAACTATTGATTATAAACATTTTTAAATTTTATTTTAGAGCATTTATCATGGGAATGATCACAGTTATAGGTAATTTTAAATCTAATCAATTAATTTTGTTTATTTTTTTCTTTTCCACGCTTAACCATGAACTGACTAACTATTGAAATTCTGTCATATTGCATCACTAAATAAGTATGAAGTACGCGACCTATGATGTCATATTAGTAGTCATAACTGAACAGTTTCACTTGACATTCGTTCATGATGAAAACTGCCGCAGAAAAATACCATTACACTGAAGTGTAAAATCTCTTTATATTAGACTCAGAATGTCCTTGTGTAATTCGTTGGGATTATAATATCAGGTGTATATTCTTCATTTAGTCAGTGCACTTAGTCATACACAACGAAAAGGCCCTCAGTTATGTTCATACTTTCAATTCAACACAAATACCAGAGTAGTAGGAATGGTAACAATGTCAGGGGTACTAGAAAACATTACTCTCAGGTAATATGATTTGTGGGGAAAGAATTAATTCGTGAGGTAAAAACCATGAAATAATTTTGAAAATATAGATCTAATTGAGGATAAACCATAAATGCATCTATTCACTTAAGATCGATTATAAACCATGTCGTCTAATGTCTCCAACCCTAGGTCATGATTATCTCGTGAGCCCTAACCACGTAGTGTGAATAGACAAACATAACTAAGTTTAACATTGAATTACTTTCTGTGATTTGACCATCATAAATTTTTTCTAAAATTCTCCCACACCGATAGACAAGGTAAGTCATCGACTGAAGGTGATTATACACCTGATCAAATTCTGAGTCCGTATTTCTTTGACTAGGGTCAGAATGATAAATGTATTTATACCACTCATTTGTGTTCACCTTATTTAGTTTAAAAATAACTGCTTCATAGTCATTCTTAGTCTTCTCATTTGCATACAAGGTTAAAGATATGTTTCTGAAGATAATACATTTGTCTCAGAATTGGACAACTGTAAAAGGCATAACAAGAAGAGTACAAATTAATAAGACCAAAAGTATACGGTTATGGAAATAGTCAGATTTAGTGAAATCGGAAATCATTTTATTTGTATGTGAGGCCCAAACTGAGAATAAGAAAAGAAGTTCTCTGATTAAATTAATGATGTGTCTCATTCCTTAGAAATGAAAGCAATTTCTCGACCAATCACTTTCACTTGGCATTTGGCAGATTTCTGATTAGTCCAATTTTAAGCGCGACTGAAAGTAATCAGTAAGATGTATTTTTGTTTATATTTTCTTTAACAGTTTCAGGTGATCTGAATGATGATATGGATCCACAAAATAAACCATATCAATGTATTCAAGTAATTCATCGTTATTATTCATTAAATAGTGAATTATATGACACAAGAAATTCTCCAATCAATGTTGGTTTTAATCATAAATTTCAAGGATTTATATCATGCTCTCAACAACGTAATCGTGATTGGTCAGTACAACCAATTGCTGGTACAAATCTATTATTACTTATCACAGATCCAATTTTTGCTGAATGTGAAAAGAATGCATTCATTGAACCTTTACACCGTGATCCTGTAAAAGGTTAGTTACTGAAAAAAAGAAAGTAAAAAACCAGTTTCAAACATTTACTATAAATAAAAATGTGTGTTTAATAAAATCGATAGATCAAAATCCAGGATGTCGATTTTGTCATTCCGATCTGTATGTATCTGAGTCTCTGTTTTCACACTGATACTCGAATCTATCACTTCTGAACTTTAGTAAACATGTTTATTTTAATGTTCTTGATGAAAGTATTTAACCTCTGCAAGTTTTAACAGACATAATTATATCTGTATGTTATAAGAACTTTCGATACTCTGACTCCAGCTTGCTAATGCCCGTGTTACACTACATTGTCTTGTGAAGAAGTACAAGTGAGTTCTACTATCACTAATTTACCATGAACAGTAATGGCTTAATAAAATAACTTACCAGACGAACAAAAATTAGTTGTTGAATATTGGTCAACACACTTTTAAGATTTAATGCATTAATGCCGTAATAAAATGCTTTTATAGTCTATGATTCGTTTTTTGTATTTTTCACCATCTTACCATGTCTGTTTATCAATGAGTCTATGATGAAAATCTTATTATTCATGGAAAAAACATTTTGACTATATTGAAGGTTGGTCTGGATGTAGATTAACCCCCCACCCCCTTGAGAAAAAAAACAAACAAACACTAAATGTCAAAAGTTTAAAAGTATAAAATTCATACAATTATTTATTTATAATTTAACTATGTAAATAATATCTTAAAAGAAACAACTGAGAAGTACATTAAAAAAAAACATGAAAATTAAATGATCATCCTAAAATTATTTAATATTGAATATTGAAAATATAAATAATTAACAACCGGTTAAGTAAAGAAAGCTCAAATAAGAATGAAGGAAGAAATAAAAATTAATCTCTAACCAAGTAACATAGCTAATTGTTGAATTTTTAACCACCTTATGGTCACATGAAAATAAAAAGATGGACAGCAGTATTATTTAAGAAACATAAGTTCAGTTTTTTTTCTAATGTTTTGAATGTTGTTTTTGTATCCGATATTGATTACCATTCTAATTATTACTACGACTGGTTTTATTTTATCAACGAAATTTACTAACAACTTATCTACTCTAGACTGTTACTTCACGTTATGCATAGGTATCAGACCGGGAATCTCCGATCACCTATGCCCTAGGATGTTCTATCGGTATTCATTCACTTGAAGCCTGTTCCCGATTCCCAGAGCTATATGTTCTTTGGTCTGCCTCTATTACTTTTGCCTTGAGGATTCCAATTTGGAACTTTATTTGTGGCACAGTTTGATGATTTCAATGAGGTTTGATCTACCATCCACCTTTAGCATCTTCTCCTAATTTTCTCTTCAACTGGAAGCTGTTTTGTTTGTTGACAGTCTTCGGCCAACCTATATATATATATATATATATATATATATATATATATATATATATTATCTTGGGTAGACAAGTGTTTTGTGAATACCTCGGCTGTTTCAATGATGGATATAGTTGTTCTGCACACAATAGAACTATCGTGATAGAGAAAAAATATTGTTTTGTCAGTTACAGCTGTTTACGATAAAAACAAGACCAACTGATAGAGATTAACCACTAATTTATTTTGATTCCACAAATCTTTGAAAGTATTTTTTATAACTCAACATTAACATTTATTAGTTTATGACTGGTCTACTCCTGAATAAATAGTAGAGAGCGAAGTAGTCATATGGTAAAGATTTGTTACATTTTATTTTTTCTAAGATCTTCTTCTTAATTGTCTGACACTTTTATTCCATGAATTTATTATTTCTTCGCGAATCATGCTGTATATGCCTAATGTTGTTTACTACCACTGATATTTTTACCAACTCTATTATTCTGGCATTTATCATCTATCGATACAGTGTAGGTAGTTAAGTTAGTGCATAATTGTACCACGTTCTACGTTATTTACGACCTACTGATTAGTTGACTGAAATGTCCTTGAATTTATGAAATTTATACATTTTTTAATTCGAATAAACCAGTTCTCTTTTTGCTATATCCATATAATTAGTCTGTAGAAATAAACATAATTTACATTTTGCTGTAAAAATATCTTTAAACCATAATTTTTTGATAAACATGAGAATTTTGAACGCCTTAATATTCTATTTCCCATGTTCATTAGTACGACGATAATGTAGACACCAATATTGATGACTCATGTAAATGGTCAGTCTACCTCGCTTGGATGGTTGATACATAAGAAGGCGAATCGGCTTCGTTAGTTACTGGTTAGAACATACGTACTAAAACAGAATGTAATAGCAAAAACAAATCAGAGAAATTCTGAGAAGGACCACTGCCGAAGACCATGTTTCACACTCGTAAAGTAGGACGTAGCGAAACGCTGTACAGTTAACTCTTCCTATGGTTAGAAAACGGATATCTCGCCTAAGCTATAACTGACGCAAGTTGGAGAAACCTTAAGATCCACCCAGGTGTCTTTCCTTTTTACTCAGTCTATCTACTTGAGCATTAAAGTCACCCACCGCTTTTATTATATCGGAGTGTCTAACTTCTTGACGGATTTTCATCTTTTACTTTTACTCGATGCTATACCTACACAAGTGAGGCAACGGGAAGCAGCGTCATGGTTTCCAGATACACGGATATTTAATCGAGTTGGTTCTTTATCTGGAAAAGATGAAGTCAGATTAATGATTCTATTCGGATTCTGTATGCGCGTCTCTGAGAGGCAGCATATATCGATGGCACGAGATTCTAAAGTCCTAGCTAAGGAAGCCTGTTGTCATATTTGACACAAGGTTCAAAAATTACAAGCTTTAACATGCAGTTTAAAGCGCGGTTTCAGGAAACTTGGAATTATTTTTCGTGAACTAGAAACCTCTGCGTCAGTGGCTCGAGGTGGCAAAGAGATATAGGAAGGATTTTAATGTGACTTATTTGGTCTCGAATGTTGTGCTGCTGTAGTAATAGTGATAATAATGTTCACAATTAATATCACTGCAATACAATGCACTATGTTCTTTTAATAAACATATATTTTCATTAAATGCTCCAAAGAATCACCTTCAAAAAATTAATATTGATCTTCTTCTAGATGTTGGTCCAGATGTTTGTGAAGCTTCACGTACTCCCCGCTATCGTAGACAATCACAAAAGTGGACATTAGTTCCGAATTATGAAGACGTTCCACCTCATTGCTCCAGTCCAAAAGGACTAAAGATTTCATTACAACTGACCATAAGTTTGGCAATACTCTCATTCTTTCTTTCATTGCATTAATATTTACTGAGTTTATTGATAAAATAAACATTTCTGAGCTCATATTTACACGTTGTGGCAAATGAAATTTCATAAAAACATTTTGTGCTACTTACTATTAGCCAGTAGCACCATAAAGTTAGCTACAAATAACAGACTGATGGTTATACTAAACATAGAACAACCTTCATATAAAGTGAGAGCCAAACCTATTGTAATTTATTTCATGTTAATCTTGCATTTCACCGGCATGTTTATTCTTTATCTTGACCGAATAATTTTTCATCATAAAAGAGGATTTATTACCCGAAATCGCAGTTACCTGTTTGATCAATAAATTTTCACAGGTGTTTGTTAATGTCTTAAATGCTATACATATTTGATGTTCAAAGTTGAATTAAATTCAGGAAACACAAAATAGAACTTTTCAATCCTTTTCTGGCCGAACTTTTATTTGCTTTTCGAAATGCTAAGTTAAACTGTATAATATTTGAATTACTGACGATATCAGAAGAGCAATTACATCAAATCGAAAGGCATTGAAAGGATTAGAATTAATGAAAAATATTAAGAACGTGAATAATAACGCACATTGAAGTATCTGATTCATTATAGAGATACAGAAAATTTAAAAAAAATTATTAAACATGGCTACCGGATGTACATGAAATACTGCATATCATTCGGCAGGGAAAGAAAATGGAGAAAGACTAAACGAAAATATAGAGAATCCATAAAAAATTGCGGGAAAAAAAAAGAAATGAAATTATTACATAAGAGGTCAAATTAAGATTCCTAAATAAGAGAGAAGATTAAAATAGGCAACATAAATTAAACATGTCGGAAACAAAAAAAAGTAACAAATAAAAATAGAAAAAAATCCTCCATAAATCAACATCCATTGAGAGAATGAAAAAAATTAAAGTATACATAATGAAGGCAGGGTACACATGTTCCGAGTATAGATGATACGAAAC